TGTTTGGGGCAGAGCAGAGATCTAGAAAGAGCTAGTTTTGATGTGGGACTTTTAAGCAAAGGACACTCCTTGGTGTGGTCCTTGGTGTGTTTGGATACTGGCTACATTATCCCTCCATAAAGATTGGAAATGAAGTGATGTCTAAATATAACCATAGAGGACACGTTCAGCAAGACCGGAGCAAGATGGCAATTCTGGGCAGGCAGTATGGGCTGATTTTGCCAAAGAAAACACAGCAGCCACACCCTGTTTTGCACAAACCATCATGTTCAGGAATGATTCTGGTGAGGGGGAGGAGTCTGTGGCAGATGGGGCGTGAGTCTGCAGCTATGGTCCTGGGAGGAAGACAGTGTAGAGCCACCACACATGACAGACAGATAACAGCACAGCAAGAAGTGAGCCTTTATGTTGTACGAAATAATAATAATAAACGAACCTGACTGTGGGACAGTTTAAGGACTGTGAGTAGAATAAAAGAACTCCATTTAGAGGGTTGAGACAGTAAAAAAATCAAATCCACTTATCTCCACCTTCCAACTTTGGGCATTTAAAAAAATCTTTATTATTAATTTATTTTCATGTGGTACTGAGGATTGAACCTAGAGCCTCACACGTGCTAGGCAAGCGCTGTACCGCTGAGCCCAACCCTAGCCCTGGGCATTTGTTTTTAAACAGGCTTCATTCACTTTATTTTTCATTTGTAAAAATCCTATGTTGACTGGGTACAGTGGTGCATACCTTTAATCTCAGCAACTCAGGAGGCTGAGACAGGAGGATCACAAGTTTGAGGTCAGCCTGGGCAACTTAGTGAGGCCCTGTCTCAAAATAAAAAAAATGAAAAAGGGCTGGGATGCCCGGAAAGATGGTGCATCCCTGTATTCACAGTGGCTGGGAAGGCTGAGGCAGGAGGATCATGAGTTCAAAGCCAGCCTCAGCAACTTAGCAAGACCCTGTCTCTAAATAAAAATTTTAAAAACTGGGGGAGGGGCTGGGGAATGTGGCTCAGTGGTTAAGTGCTCCTAGGTTAAAATCCCTCATACCAAAAAAAAAAAAAAAAAAAACCTAGGTCATAGCCACAGCCTGGGTCTCCAGTGTGGATTTTTACAAGATGGTAGATGAATTCTTGATATTGAGACTTGGTGACCATGGTTCCTTTCCAGTCAGGGGTTAGGTATCTAGGTCTTTGAGATGTCATCAAAGAAGGTGTCCTTTACAAGGTTGCCCAGATGGCAGTACAGTCCCTGGCCAAGGTGTAGCAGTCATCAATACCAACCATAAGTAGCAGTTTTCTGAGCATCTGCTACAGGCAAAGAAAAAAAAAGACCATAAGTTGGGCAGTGTTCTCTTGGCTGTGGTAGGTGTCTTAGGCCTCAACTAATCCCCATGTGAAAAAAAGAGTTAATGTTTTGGAGGCTTGCCACAGCCTATCTCATTCTCAGCATCCTCTACCACACTGCAGGGAGAGAGCACTATTTACAGATGGGATCAAAGAGGTCAGAATGCTGGCCCAAGGACACACAGCTGATAAGTAGCAGGCAGAGCATGCATTCTGCCTCCCAGGATGGAGATGGCTGTCCCCTCCCATCCTGCATCACAGGATTATAAAAATGAAAAGAACCAGAAAGCACACCTTGAAAGAGAAAAAAAAGATGAGCCCAGTGGTGCACACCTGTAATCCCAGCAATTTGGGAAGCTGAGGCAGGAGGATTTCAAGTTCAAAGCCAGCCTCAGCAACTTAGCAAGGCCCTAAGCAACTTTCTCAAGACCCTGTCTCAAAAAAAAAAAAAAAAAAAAGCAGGGGCTGGGGATGTGGCTCAGTGGTTAGGCATCCCTGAGTTCAATCCCCAGTATAATAAATAAATAAATAGACTAAAATAAAGACAGAAAAAGTTTCATGAGTGTAGAGGGTGATCCTGTTGTAGACAGCCCTGACCCCTTACAAAAGTTCTCTGGAGCACACAGCCACCTGAAAGATCCTAGGCAACGTGGCACTGATGGTTGACTCTCAGGACTGGATCCTGTGGAGACACGGAATCTCCATACAGGAAACCACAGGAGCCTTCCAAGCACTACGGTGAGCAATTTTAGAAACAGGAATACAGAAGGGTCCAAGAGAAGTGAAGTCAAACCAGGTCTTTGGGCATTTCTGCCCCTTCCAGATGTCAGAAAAGAAAATGCCCTGGTGTCTATGTGGCCTGCGGTGAGGGGAATCTGGAGCAGCGATGTCAGGCAAGGTTGTGCAGGTGTTGTGTGGACCTGGTGGATGAGCTTCATTACACCCTGGGCCGGTGGAGACGTCTTTTATTAGAAACCTTTCATTTTTCCGGCATTTTCCTAATTGAGCCAAACCACTCTTGGCAAAAACTCTGGGTGTCCTTAGCCTAAGGGTAGATTTAATTTGAGGTGGGTAGTGGAGTGTTGGAAAAAGGGCCCGGGGCTGGCTGTCAAAAGTGGGTGGGGGGCAAATTCCAGTCCTGGCAGGGCCATGACTTACGGTGGGGCCTCAAAAATCAGCCCCCTCTAGGGACCTTAGCATCCTCATCAGTGGAAACGGAAGGGTTGATCCCTAGGCTCAGGACACGGCTTCCCCATCGGATGCCACAATTAGCTCTAAGGGACAGGGGTTTGTTGGCCCCAGGCCTAGGAACGCTGGAGACCCAAACCGGGGCAGCGGAGGGGGGCCCCGGCTGAAACTGTCGCAGCCCCTTCCCCAGCTGACTTAGGGCCCCCCAGTTGCCAACTCTCGGCTGAGCGAGTGTCCGGAGCCATAAAAGGGGTCGTTGGTGAAAGACAACGCGCCCTCCCACCGCGAGCTGCGGCCGACGCTCGGGGAAGCCCCGGGCCTGGCGGGAGGGGGCCGCGGCGGAGCTCGCGGGGCTCGGGGCTCCCCGCCCGCCACACGCGTCCCCGAGCCCTGGGAGGGCGTCGGGCCCAGGGCGCGCCAGAGCCGGGACCGGGACGTGGCGCCTGCCGAGGCGTGGCCGGAGCTGGGCGGGGACCGCTGCCTGCGGGGCGCCGGGTCCCAGCCGCCGACCAACTCGTCCTTCCCGGACGTGTCCGGCTCCGCGCTCGCTGGCCCACAAACAAGGAAGCTCGGGAACGCCCGGCGGGCGCCGCGGCCGGTGCGAGGCCGAGTGCCGCGTGTGCCAGAGCCGCGCCAGGAGGGGCTGCCATGGCAACCCCGAGCCCGCGCGACACGCCGCCGGGCACTCGCCGCGCCGAGGTCCCCGCGCCGCCCCCGCGTCGGGGCTGCGGAGCTCTCAGCTCCAAGACCAGCTCGCTCTGCTGAGTGTCCAGACATCTCTTTGGTCCTGGGGGAGGAGAAGAGATCTGTTTTCAGGAAGGGCCGGGCAGACAACCTGCCCCTCTTTCTCCATCCCTAAACCGCGCCAGCCCGTGCGCGAGGTGGGGAAGGCGCCCCAAATCGCCGATGGCACAGCGGCGGGGACAGCAACCTAGCAGAAAGGAGAGAGTCCCCACCCGTCCACAGCCAGGCCCTGGAAGGCCCTGTTGCTGGGATCACAATTTGACAGGCTCATCTCCCTCTTTCTAGCTGCAACCTCTGGAAAGGGAAAGGGGGACTTCAGGGATCTCCAAACTCTAGGGGAGAGACCACAAAGGTTTGGGCTCCCGTTTGGGGCTCTGTGCTTCCTTTTGAGGGATGACTCCACCCTCCCCTCATGACTTCTCCACACAGCCCTCACATCTCCAGCGTTTTTAATACTTTATTTAGAGACACGGCCTCCTTAAGTTGTTGAGGCTGACTTGGAACTTGTGATCCTCCTGCCTCAACCTCCTGAGTTGCTGGAACTACAGGTGTGCACCACCGCGCCTAGTCTATCGCGGGATTTTGGCTTTAGTTTCCCTGCTTCAGTCCATCAGGATTAAAGGCTAAGGACTAATACTCCGGCTTTCTCATTAATAAACAGAATTACAAACGACTCAGGTGTTTCCGTTTGTGTAACTTGAGCAAGTCCTTCCCACTCTGGACCTCGGTTTTCCCATCTATTTAAGGATTGGGGGCTGGGGATGGGGCTGTAGCTTAGTGGCAAAGTGCTTGCCTTGCATGCGCGCAGCACTGGGTTCAATCCTCAGCATCACATAAAAATAAGTAAAATAAAGGCATTATGTCCATCTACAACTACAAAAATTAAACCTGCCTTCCAGCACTAATATTCCAAGGTTCACATTCACATACTTTATTTGCAGGCAACAGCCTGTCATAAGGAGTTAACTAATTATATTTGCCTCCCCAACAACTGTGCATTTAGTAGGTAGTCAAAAGGGTTGTTAGTGAAATATAAAGGTCTTTTTGCCTGTCCCCTCTCAGCCAACAAACTCCTAATGATGACCAAAAGAAAGATGAGAAAAGTGACATGGTGATGCATCCCTGTAATCCCAGGGACTCAGGAGACTGAGGTGAGGCAGGAGGATTCAAATTCAAAGCCAGCCACAGCAATTTAGCAAGGCCCTAAGCAACTTAGTGAGACCCTGTCTCAGAAAATACAAAGGAATGGGGATGTGGCTCAGTGATTAAGCGCCCCTCAGTTCAATCTCAATCCTGTGTACAAAAAAAAAAAAAAAAAAAAAAAAGGAAAAGAAAAAGAAAAAACGAGCAGGTTTATCAACTTGATCAAAGATAGAACCTGTACATCCAGAATGGGATGATGACTCCCAGTTCCTGAGGCTTGTGGGGCAGCAGAAATGTCATAGACCAGCCATGTGCTGTGAACGGTAATCTTAGTGAGTTGGGAGGCTGAGGTCTGAGGATCACAAATTCAAAGCCAGCTTCAGCAACTTAGCAAGGTCCTGTCTCAAAATAAAAACTAAAAAAGAGCTGGAGATGTGGTTCAGTGGTAAAGTGCCCCTGCTTCAATCCCCAGAACTACAACAACAACAAAATCTCAGTACAGAAGCTAGCCCTCCTTGGGTGCTTCAGAACATGTGGCCTCCGGGAATCCTGAATCTTCTTTGTTGCCTGGCTTGCGGATGTATCAGAAACCATGGCTCCCATTTTGCCAGTGACAAACCCAAAGAAATGACATGATTCGGCCACATACACACCACAAAATAAGAAATGGTAGATGCAAGACCACTTTCCTCATTTGTTCAATGGAGATAATAGTAGTAATGGCAAAACCTGCTTTATGGGATTGCCAGATGTTTGTCTGCGAAACAAAAGAGATCAGTTTGTAAGGGGTCAGCTGCTAGTTGTTGGGCGCAGTGGCTGCGGCAGTAACACAGAGGCCTGGCATGGAACTATGAAAAGCCCTCCTTCCTCAGACATTTACATCCAGGTCTTAAACAGGGCTGGGCACTGGCCCTTGGACACACAGGATGAACAAGATACTATCTCTCTGCCTTGGAGGCACTGACAGTATGTGGGAGGGGGCAGCTGAATACACAGATCAGTACAATCCCTCCAGGCAGTTTTTTTTTTTTTTTAAGGTGAGCTGCCAGTGTTCTAACTCAGGCACCTCCCTGTGTGCTGGGTGGATTTGCGGGTTTGTTTAGTTTTAACCTCTCTGCCATCTTGAGCAGTTCCTGCTCCCTTCACCCAGCTTGGGTGCCACATGTGAGAGAGAGGTCAGTTGGTCAGCTCCCTGGACCCCTTCTCCTTGGCTCTCAGGATGACCCTGAGTGACTTGGTCAGGTGGCAGTGGACACACTTCCTCGGAAATGTGCTCTCCAGCTTCTGACTGCTTCAGTTTCCACCTGTGCAGGGAGATCACAGCAGGCCGTCATACGGTGTTGGGTGTTTGCCTTGTCTTTGAACAAGGCTCTAAATGTTTTAAATTTATTTCTGAGATAAATTAACAATCATGCAAGCATGTGGTACAGATTTCAAAAGGTACAAAGAAAGAATTCAGTGAAAAGGAAATCTTCCTCTCGCCCCCCCCCCCCCTCAACCCCCCTCCCCCTCCCCAGAGGAACCACTTTTATTCCTTTCTTATATATGTCCTTCCAGAAATAAAATGTTCTCTTCTAGGGATTTTCCTAAAGTAAGGTTTACCACGACGTGGTCTATGGACTACCTGGATCAGAATCACCCAGATTACAATCATTAAAGTGGGGAAACTGGTTTGAAGAATTTGCCAGTGGGGCTGGGGATACAGCTCAGTTAGAGAGCTTGCCTTGCATGCAGAAGGCCCTGGGTTCAGTCCCCGGCCAGCTATCTTGCTGTGGTGTGGAAGGTATTTCCGGATGTCCTTATTTCTAGATAAGGAGACTGACCAGGCCAAACCTGGTCAAATTCATAGCAGTCTAGAACCAGAGTTTCCAACACGTTCAGCTACACTAGTGTTTTGCAAGCCCTGTAGGTGTGCGTGTTGTGGAACCGTATCTGCGCACACAGAAGTGAATAATGAAAGCAGAGTTCCTCCTCTTGTTGATGTGGGGTGGGGTGGTGTGGGCAGAAGGTCCTCACTAAGCTTCCTCTCCCGCTGCCTTATTGAAGCCCTCCTTGGAACCCAGGGGTAGTAAGATCACAGACTCACCTTAGGTGATGTTCTAGAGGTGATATGAATTTAGTATTCACAAGGTGAAATTCAAGGACAGAAAAGAGAAATGGACATTTCCTGCTCAATTCTCTTTATGTGAACCCTGGAATTCCTAGCTCCTGCGATGCCCACCAGTCCTGCTCTGTAGCCACAAGCCCATGAAAGGCTGTCACAGGAAGAAGGCAGCTTGTGGTCATGGGGTCCCCAAGAAGAGAGGTGGCCTCTGGTGAGCATCCACCATCCCAATCAACTTCAGCATATTTATTAAGACCTCAGGGTACCCAGTGCATTAAACTCCAAGAAGTTTTAAGCTAGTCCTAGTCCCAGTCCCATGATGGCTCTCAGTTTAGCTGGAGAGAGATGTAAAAGGAAGTGATAATGACAATATGGCAGCTGCCAAGCGAGGGTAAAGAGAGGTGGGTAAACAGATGAATGGTCTCTTGGCTGGGCATGCAGGGGAGTAGAAGGATTGGGGAGGGGAGCAGAGCAGGGCAGAAAGGAATCGAGGTGACACTGCCTTGCAGGGGAAGCCTGGCCACTCTCCCTTGAGAGGAGCCTCGGAACAGCAGATTGGGGCTGAGCTTTATCCCAGCTTAAAGAACTAACCGGCTTGAGGCACGTGGGTTGGAGCTGAGGAGGATCTTCACGGTGGAAACTTCCATCCCTCAACCTGCTTCTGCCTGAGTCACAACTCTGTCCAGCCGGTAACTCCACGGGCTTCCGGCTCTGGCCACACACTGAGTCCCCACTGCTCTGGAACACACCACCATCAGGACACACCTGAGTCCCTGCTTCCTGCAGGACTGGATCCCTTGCTGTTTGCCCTCACAGCATTCAACACCTGGTCACAAAGTGTTCTGTCACAGGGCTTTGGTGAGAAGGGAATGTCCCCCTCATGCCTGTGTTCTCCAAAGGACACATCATCTTCTGGCATCCGTGAATTTCCTTGTTTCTCGCGTCTCCCATTGAATGTGAGCTCCCTGAGGGCACCCTTGTCTGTGCCTCTGGTGCCCAGGGCAGCACTGGACACAGAGGCAGGCATGGAGAGCGATTCTCCTTCCTGGGAGGAGGGGGCACTCGCCTTGGGCAGGAGCATGGTCTCTCGCTTGGCAGAGTCCCGGGCCAGTTTTACCATGCTGCGGGCAGTTGTAACAATGCAATTATGAATAACACCCCAAGGTGCCAGGTGCCAGGTTGAAACAGCTCCTTGAGGTGACCAATGAGGAACCTGGGGGTAGGGGGGAGAGAAGGCCTGGCCTTGGAAAGGGAGCCCCACAGGGACTGGCAGGAGCAGGTGGAGGGTGTGGTTCCCAGCTCCCTGCATGGTGCTTAGTCACTGCAAGGTCAGAACCTAGAGAGGCAGAGAGGAGGCCATCCTCAGGATCAGAGTGCCCATGAAACTGCAGGCCAGGTTGTCCCCTCCTGTCCCCAGACTGGGTGCCCTTAACCTGTCCTTGGCTTCCCAGATGAATCAGCAAATTCCAGACTCTGGGGTTCATTGCAGTACATCCCCTGGGGCATATTAGAAGATCTTGCCTGACATTAAGTAATACATGTTGGAGAGCAGGAGGTTCAGAGACCAGCAGCAGCCTGAGGTCAAGGTCATCTAGAGCTGAGGCTGTGTCTGTCTGGAGCCTCCAGCCAAAGAGAGAGCTGATGCTGGGAACCTGGAGAGGAGTGGGGTTGCCCAGCCTCAGCTGAAAATCAGCAGATTTGGCTACAAACAGTTGCCAAGTTGGTTTCAAGGCAGAAAATCCTCAGAGAGAAGGAAAGCAGGTGTGCCCTGCTCTAAGCCACCCCTTCTAGGAAAACTGAATGAAGAACGGGGCAGGAGCAGTGGTGCCCAGTGATTCGGGAGGCTGAGGCAGGAGGATTGCGAGTTCAAGGCCAACCTCCACAACTTAGTGAGACCCTGGGGATGTGGCTCAGTGGTAAAGTGCCCTTGGGCTCAATCCCACTACAAAAAGGAGAACAGAAGGAAGGGACAGGGATATGTCACACAGTGTACTTAGCTAGGCCATGAACTGGATGCTTTTCCCGGCACATCCTACCACTGTGCCCATGTGGTTCTGACTACAGCTCTAGAAGCCCATGCAGAACAGGGCAAGAGACTGTGATCCCACCTGACAGACGAGCAACTGAGACCCAGAAAAGACTCCAAACAGATGACTGTGGGCCCGGCTCTGCAGTCCAACAAACCTGGGGTCATGTTGGCCACTCCCCAGGTCTACGTGGCAGGCTCTGGACCTCTGGGGCCTCAGTTTCCACATCTGTAAAATGAGGATAGTGACACATGTGGGGCTGTGCGGTGAACCGAGGCAGTGTGTGTCACTGTCAGAGCAGCCTGACACATGGCTGCCCTTAGCCTGTCACTCTTGTTATTTTTAGAGTACCTCACACTTTTTTTTTATGTATGAAATATCCACAGGGACCTGTGATGGAGCGTCTCCCCCAGAGGCAGGCCAGATGTCATTCCTCCCCCCTCCTGTCCCTACTCTCTCCTACTATCCTCACCCCTTCTAGAAGGTCTCCCCAGGCTGGTCTCCCCTAACCCCGAGGAGCTCACGGCCACTGCTTGGTTCCCCCTCAGAGCAGCAGGGCTGCTGTGGCCAAGAGGGAATGGATCCCCCACCGCCCCACCTATCATGTGGTCACCCAGCCTCGGCCTGCGGCAGGGCCTGGAGCCTGGAGGAGCCTGGCAGGCTGCCAGGGCTTCCTTGGGAGGACGCCCCGCCACACCCTCTGGGCCCCTCTATTCTAGGAGCTGTAATTTAGGCAGCCTTCCCCGCCCCAGTTGCTATCTGGGGTAGCAGTCCTGATTCCCCAGGGCCTACCCACCCGCTCCGCAGCCTTTTCATAAACAGCTCCCAGGCTGCCCTGTTATCTTGGGCACCCTGGCTCGGGGAGGAGGCCCTGCCACCTTGGAGATACAAATGAACTCCTCATCCTAGAGACAGACTGGTTCAGTGTAGGCAGAGGTGGGATGGAGGCCTCACCCACCAGAGCCCAGTATAGCAGTCCTTGAACCTGATCCTGAAGCCTGCTGCTTGCGGTGGGGTACAGAGAGCTTGTCATTATCCCCACAACACCCTGGGGACTGGGTCAGTCTGGGCTGTGTTCTCTCCAAGTGCTAGGTGTGCTCAGCCGGAGAGTCATCAAAAGTGTGTGTGTGTGTTTGAGCATGCATTTTTGTGTTAATAATACCAGAGCATCAGTAATACCAAAAAAAAAAATGTGGCTCCCCACAACCTCTAGGGATGAAACTCAAAAGACCCTTTACTGTCTGCCTTTTATATCTCCCCTCACACCTCAGGACTTTTGCACAAGTTCTTGCTCTCCTCAACATCGTTCTCCTTCTCACCTAACTCCTATTTATCCTTCGGATCTCAGCTATAAGCCATTTCTCATGGACTCCTCCCCTGACATCACAACACATACACCAGCTTCCCTGGTCCTCCCCCTGGCCCAGGATGGATGGCTCTCCTGACTTTACCAGGGGCACCGTGTTCTTGCCTGTGCACTTGTCTATCTCCCTAGCCAACTGCAAGTGCTCCCAGAGTAGCCCTTCCCAGCACCTGGAATATAATAGGTGTTCAAGAAATATATTTTTCCTTTTTTTCTGATTTTTTTGGGGGGGTGGTGGGGGGTGGTACTGGTGATTGAACTCAGGGGCACTTGACCACTGAGCCACATCCCCAGCCCTATCTTGTATCTTATTTAGAGACAGGGTCTCACTGAGTTGCTTAGTGCCTCATGGTTGCTGAGGCTGGCTTTGAACACACGTTCCTCCTGCCTCAGCCTCCCAAGCCGCTGGGATTACAGGTGTGCACTACCACGCCTGGTTCAAGAAATATTTTTTGAAAAAAGGTATGAATGAATCAGCAAATGATTCCTCTGTCCCTCTAGGATGTCTGGTCTCTTAGATGTTATTTGGCTACTTGATTCTATTTTCCAGGAAAGCCCAGGCCTCCCTGGTTCTCTAAGTACAACTGCAGGCTTCACGGCACAGTCTGTCCATCCTGATCTGTTAAATCTGGTTGCCATGGTCATGGGCCTGCTGATGGGAGGCCCAGGAGCTCCCCTCTTCCATCCCTGGAGGCTCTGAGGATGCTGTTGGACAAGGCAGACATCCTTGGGTTAAGAGGGAGGAGGGTGTAGAAGGGGAAGTCCCCAGGCCCTGAGTCACTTACAAGAAGGACTCTGCTACTGGGAGGGAGATGGGTGTGCACCAAGTCAGGTTCCTATTTTGAACTTTTTGCTGAAATAGACATGCACTCTGTATACAGTTTGCCCCAAAGAGGGAAATAGCAAAGATCAACAACTACAGCCGCTGGGCTCCAGTTGGATTATTCTGTTGCTTCCATAAATTATTGGAGGACCTGTGAAATGTCAGTATCTCTGCATCCAGATTGCATCTCCCTCCTAACCTCTCATCCTAAAGCTAACCTTGATTTCATCTTAGGCCTGCTCCAAGGGTGGACTGGGAAAATACGGCCGCCGGACTTGCTGCCACCTTCAGACTCACTCCCCAGAATGGAGCCAGGGAGCCAAGGTGGAGGGCCTGGGCCTTCAGGGAGAGAACATGAGAAGTGGGGGACCCAGCACCCCACCATCCCACTTCTAGAAACAGCACAGTGAGTGACCACAGCCAAGTTTGGCAAGGACAATAAATCTAGTGGCAAAATATATAAGGTCTAGCCAGGTGTGGTGGGTGCACCCCTGTAATCCCAGTGACTCAGGCTGGAATTCCCAGTGCCACATGCACAAACACCCCCCCCACACACACACACACACATACACACAAAGGAGTCCCATGATCTAGCTGTGTCCCATGTCCCTGTCTTTTTGCCGTCATTCCCTCTGCCTGCATGCTCTTCCCCTCTGATCTTCTTTTTTAAGATGGGGTCTCAATGGCTCTTGATGTGGCTCAGTGGTAGAGTGCTTGCCCACCATGCTTAAGGTCCAGGATTCAATTGCCAGTACCTAACACAAAAGTAGGGGAAGGGTCTTGCCATATTTCTCAGGCTCATCCTGGGCTCAAAGGAATTTTTTTTTTTTTTTTTTTTTTGTACTAGGAATTAAACCCAGGGCCACTTAGCCACTGACCCACATCCTCAGCCCCCTTTTATTTTTAATTTCGAGACCATGTCTCACTAAGTTGCTTAGGGCGTCGCTAAGTTGCTGAGGCTGGCTTTAAACTTGAGATCCTCCTGCCTCAGCCTCCAGAGCTGCGGGGATTACAGGCGTAGGCCACTGCACCCAGCTTCCCCTCTGATTTCTATGTGGCTCATCCGCTTCCTCTTTGCTTGAATGCCCCCTTGTCACTTGGCTCCTCCCTGATCACACTGCTTAAATCGAACTTCCCCCACTCCCATCCCACTTCCCTGCTTTATTTTTCTCTAGCGCTCACTGCTGTCTGGCACACTGGGGTCTTTAACCTATTCATCGTGTTTACTGTCTGCTTCTTTTCCATAGAACGCAAGAGCACTGTTGGTTTTGTTTACTGAGGTCTCCCTGATTGAGTTTTCTATTATTGTGTAACAAATTACCCCCTAATTTAGCCACTTACAACAAGCATTTCTTGTTTCTGTGAGCCACTGTCCTCTTGGGTCACAGCTATCTCAGGGCCAGACCAGGGCCAAGGGTCTGTGTCCAAGCTCACTCATGTGGTGATTGACAGCCCCAATTTTTCCATTGGCCAGAAAATTTGGGGCCTCTTGGTAGGCTGCTCCCCACATGGGCACCTGCTTCCCCCAGAGCAAATGATCCAAATGAAGAGGGAGAAGGAGAGAACATCTAAGACAGAACCACAGTCTTTGATAATCTAATATTGGAAGTGATGTCCTTTGCCAGGTGTGGGGGTGCTCGCCTGTAATCTCAGCCAACCGGGAGGCTGAGACAGAAGGATCACAAGTTGGAGGCCAGCCTTGGCAACTTAGCAAAACCCTCAGCAACTTAAGGAGACTCTGCCTCAAAATAAAGAGTAAAAAGGGCTGGGGGCAAAGCACCCCTGGGTTCAGTTGCCCTCCTCCCCCAAAAAAGAAGGAATGTCTCTTGACTCCCTGGTCCAGTATTTTGTGGGGGGCAGGAGATTGGCTGAAGTGTAGACCCTTGGAGATAGGTTTGATCAAGGCCACCTTGGGAGGCTACCATGATCCCCAACACTTATGTGGCACATAGAAGATGCTCAAGAAATAGTTGTCAGAAAAAAGAATGAAGACAGGAATGATTTTAGCACGAGTCCTCTAGATCTCAGTTCTCATGGGGAGTGAATAGCCGTGACCACTGACCCATCCCTGAAGGATCTTAATCCAGTTTTCCTCCCACCACCACCCATAGGCCCTCTTAGAACTCGCCTCACCTCTTCCCAGCCATGCTGTGGGGATGCAGACAGGAGCGGGTCAGCATCAAGGTGCCTGACACAGGCAAGCCCTCCATACACGGCCACACATGACCAGTGTGGGGGGCTACTAATGCTAGAGGGGAAAATCAAATATCTCCCCGGGGTCAGGAGTAGTTGCAGAGCTGGGGGCATCAGTGAGTGGCAGTGTGTGTGTTTCTATTTTTGATCTTCCCAGAGGAGCTGTCCCAGGGCAGTAGTGCTGGCCCAGATACCCAGAGCCAGAGATGCTGTCATGTGGGGGCTTTAATCACCCAACCAGGCAGGGGACTCGGATGAGGCTGGGGTGTAGCTCAGTGGTACAGAAAGAAGAGAAAATATATATAATAAACTCAAGCCATTCGCAGACCCTAGATTGAAAAGGCCAGCACAAAACTCTGGCCCACCAGAACTTGTATCTCCTGAATGAATTAATAAATGAATCAAACAATTACCCAAAGGACCAGAGTCTTAGAATCTTTTCTGGTTGGCACAGCCTTTCCCCTCATAATAATTGCTCCCAGAAAATTGGCTGAATTTCAAAAGACCTGCCTTCAAGCTTTGCCTTGGCCACCTAACTAACTACATGACCTTGGACTTGACACCTGACCTCTCAGCCTTGTTTTTCCTCATCAGGAAAATAATGTGAATTACAGAGATTGTTTTGTAGGCTCCAAAGCCCACTGAAAACATGAGGGACTCTTATTTTGGATGAACTCTAATTTTGGCGGGTACATCTAGAGTGAGGCAAAAGGCATTGAATGCTGGGATCCTGACAGTCCCTTGCTCCCCTCAACATAGACCTGCCTTGGGAATGGGAAGATTCCTAGTAGTGCAGTTTGCTCAGGGGAAGGTGTGAAAATGCTTTCCACCAGACCTATCCTTTGCTAGCATATCATAGTCAGATGGTTGGGTTATGACATGACTCAGGTGGGGACAGCTGGCTTTGGTCCCGTTCCAAGCCCAAGACAACACCCTATGCAATGTGACTAGGTAGAGAATTCTATAGTCATTCAGGCAACACACATTTATTTAGCAGCTACTCTGGACCAAGGTTTGTGCACAACACTACGGTCCCTGTCTTCTAGGAGCTGGCAATCTTTTTTTAATTTTTTATTATTTTTATTTATTTATTTATTTATTTATTTTTGGTAGTTGTAGATGAACAGAATGCCTTTATTTTTACGGGGTGCCAAGGATCGAACCCAGTGACCCACACATGCCAGGCAAGTGCTCTGCCTCTGAGCTACAGGCCCAGCCCCGGAGTTGGCAGTCATCAATCAGTTAATTAATCACCTGGGAGAAATACAGGGGGCTGTGGAGACACCTAACAAGAGATCCTGATCTCGGGGGTGAGCAGGACAAGCTTCTTTGTGGAAGTGACATTGGAGCTGAGTCCTGAATCAGTGAGGAGCCATGGATGGGGTGGGAAGTCTTCTGGGCAGAGGCTATATGAAGTGCAAAGGGCCTGTGGCAACACATTTGAAAACTGGAAGAAATCTGATGATACATTCCACTTACATATAGAATTATAAATTGTCCAAAGCCCTGTAAAGGTAAAGAACACAATGATCGGTAACCGTGGGACCTACCTAGGAGATGATAGTTAACAGTGAACACATCTCTCATGTGAAGGAACCAGGGCGTCATAGCAGGAAGAAGCACACTCAAAGCTGAGAAAAGTATGTGCAAAGGCTCTGAGGCCAGAAAGAGTTGGTGTGCTTGTATTCAAGGAACTGAAAGAGGACACTGGGTAAGGCCTGAGAGATTGGCAGGAGTTGACCTAGTAGCTGCAGCCTTATGGGAAGTGAGCTGGTGTCTGTACTGGATCCCAACAGCAGTAGGAGGCTATTGAGGGGCGAGCAGGAGGGTGATTAGTTTCTATTTTGCAAAGCAAAGCCGATTTGATTGGCATCTGATGTCACCTGTCACAGCAAATATCCTCTTAGAAGATTCTCTGAAACACTGGTTTTGGGGGAAGTTAGCTCCCCCCTCCTCCACTTCTCTAGATCCTCCTATAGGTCAGTCCAGGGAAGGCAAACCCTTGAGCAGGAATCTCCACTTGCCAGACTCCAGAAGGGCCTTGAAAGTCTGTTAGTGGGTAGGGTATGAGCAACACTGGAACCTGGAGGCCGTCCCTCAGCCACACTGCACCATGAAAATATGTAGGACACTTTAAACAAAACAAAACAAACAAACTGAACCCAGGAACACTTAGCCACTGAGCCACATCCCCAGCCTTTTTTTTTTTTTTTTTTCCCATTTTGAGACAAGGTCTTGCTAAGTTGCTTAGGGCCTTGCTAAATTGCTGGGGTTGGCTTTGAACTTGGGATCCTCCTGCCTCAGGCTCCAGAGTTGCTGGGATCACAGCTGTGCACCACCATACCCAGCCAAGGATCTTCTGATACAATATATGAGACCTTCCACATCCTTCCCCTCATCTAATTTGATAACCTCCTTGCAGGGTGGGCAGGGTAGCAGTAGACCCACTTTGCATTCAAGGAAATCCAGGCTCAGACATCGAGAAGACTCTGTACGGAGCTAGGGAGGAGTATGCCTAGTCCTCAGACCTGCACACTTCCCGTCCCACCCCCTCCGCCACCTGATGGCTCATCAAGGCTGCTTACTGAGGGAGGGCAGGCTGAGTCTGTTGTAGGGAGAAGGGGCTTTGAGTGGGGAAGGCAAGGAGGAGGGGAGGCATTGGGGGCAATGGGACCTCTCTGGGGGACCCAGCCCCTGAATAATGGTCTTCTCTTTATTCTGGAGATACCTTGGGTTGCAGCTACCTGAGCTGCTAGAGGATGAGACAGAATTCCTGGGTCGGCACAGGGTCAGCAGCTCTTCCCTAACATTCTTTTTCTTTTTTTTGGTACTGGGGATTGAACCCAGGGATGCTCACCACCGAGCCACATCCCCAGCCCTTTCTAATATTTTATTTAGAGACAGGGTCTTGCTAAATTGCTGAGGCTGGCTTTGTACTCGCCATCCTCTTGCCTCAGCCTCCAGAGCCGCTGGGATTATAGGTGTGCACCACTGCAACAGGCCTTAACATTCTTTTGTGAAGCTCCTTTTCTTGTTCAAGTTCCCTGTAGAAAGATTGCAAGCTCCCATAAGTCAGGATCAATGTCTGGTTCAATATCTTATCTCCCAGGGCCTGAAGCAGTTCACTTTTGTTGAATCAATGGGAACACAAACATGAATGCAGCCTGCTAGTGACGCCTAGAAGTGCCACAGGGTGGGTGTAGAACTAGCTAGTGATGGGATCAAGCTCTGAAGTTCTGAGCCCAGATCTATGTTGTTATCAGATTCTTCTAAGGGCTAGATAAGGGTGGGGCAACCTACTTGGATCCCACAAGAGCAAAACTCAGAGAGGTCTAGCAAATTAGCCAGAATCACACAGTGTGTGAGCCAGGGCTAGAACCTGGAGGGTCAATTCACAGCCCAGGGTTGGAAAATGAAAATAAGAATCTTCTCCCATGGGAGCAGCGGGCAGGGGGCAGACTTGAGGAAATGCCCCAAGTACCACAGGGGAAGCAGACAGGCTTCTGCAGGCTTGGGTGAGTCCAGGGACTCCAGCCAGAATATTTCAAAAATGTTTCTCACCTTGCCCTCCTGGGGCTGTGGACCCAGGTGGCTGGGCTGGCTGCTGCCTGGGCAGAGAAGGGAGCAGAGATATTCCCCTCCCCAGTGCCTTCTGTGCTAGCTCAAAGCCTCAAGCCCGCTCCCTGCTCCTGTCCTCACCCCTGCTCCTTGAAGCACCCCTGGCTCTGGTTTGGAAATGAGGGTTCTTGGAGGCGCTGTTTGGCCTTTGGGTCGTTGAGGAGCCCCAAGTCTCCCTCTCTGGTTTCCATTATTGCAGACCATCCTCAAAATTCTTGAGTTCCACCCAAGTAGGGAAATGCGGTTCCAAGGACAGCCACCTGCCTGAAGTCAGGCAAGTTCACACCCGGTATCCTGATTCCAAGTCAGACTGCTCTAGAAGCCAGAGCATCAACTTTCCACGTTAATAGACAGCAATGAGTAGGCCAAAGACTGTGATCAGTAATAAAAATACCTAAGAACACAAGTCTCCCTTCGATTCCCTTCTTCAGGACTGGTACCTTTATTTTTGTGGGGGAGGGGTACCAGGGACTGAATTCAGGGGCACTTCACCACTGAGCCACATCCCTAGCCCTATTTTGTATTTTATTGAGACAGGGTCTCACTGAGTTGCTTAGTGCCTCGCCATTGCTGAGGCTGGCTTTGAACTTGTGATCCTCCTGCCTCAGCCTCCTGAGCTTCTGGGATTACAGGTGGGTACCTTTTCCTTGTCCTGCAGGGGGACACTTTCTTTTGGATAGGACATGCATTTGGGATGGGAATGTAGGCCACTTGGGTTTAACTCTTCCTTCTGCCATTTCCTAGCCCTGTGACTTTGAGCAAGTTCATACCACTCTGTGTCTCATTTTTTTCTCATCTGTAAAATGGAGAAACTAGTAGGGTAGAGAGAAATATGAGAATGAAGAGTTGAGCCTTTTATTTTCCCACCCTCGCCATCCCCACTTATTATGTGGATTCAACCCGTGTGCTTTACCACTGAGCCCAGCCCCAGCCCTCTTTAGTCTTTGAGATAAAAAAATTTATTTAAGGGTCTCACTAAGTTCTTAGGGTCCTGCTAAATTGCTGAGGTTGGCCTGAACTTGGAATCCTCTGGCCTCAGACTCCTGAGTCATTGGGATTACAGGTGTGCAGCACCACGCCTGGCTCAAGGTGCTTTCCGAATGTTCCTGTGCTCCGGCTTTTTCATTTGCAAAAATGGGAATACTAAATATAATTTGCCTTGTTGTGGGGGGTGGTTGTGGGGAGTATGTGACCAGCACCCCAATGATTTCCAGACACATTTCTTCGCCTGCAGGTGAAGTGTGCGGACTGAACTGTCCTGTCCCTCCCTCTCCCCCTTGCTCCTCCCACTGAAAGACACCTGGAGAGTGGGAGCAATATTCTTGGATTATTGGCCTCCTTTGACTCTAACCCCGAGACACTGGGCAAGTGACTCACTCTCTGGAAAGAGCAGGTGGAGAGCTCATCCCTGGCTGCCTGAGTCAGGGTTCACCAGACTTGAGCAAGCCCTGTCACCTCAGATGACTCCTGTTCTCACAAGCTCTATGCCATGTCAACTGACTAAAGTCCTAAGGTGAAAGAGAAAGGGAAAGCAAGATCCACTGTCTGTGTGCTGGGCAAAGGCCTCTACCAGTTGGGAGGTGGACTTCCCATTCCATTTCTGTCCCATCTTAGGTACATGGCTGGCTGGTCATCTGGCTTGCTTACTGATTGACAGTAAGAAGAGAAAGTAAAGAAAGTGGAAGGAGAAACAGTTTTGTGTCCTGAAATTAGCGCAGGGAGAAACAGGAGTTTCTACACTTATTTCACAAAGGCATCTTGCAGGTGGCACCTGGAAGGCAGAATTGGGCAGAAAATTTGGGCACTGATGCCAACAGGAAGTCATCTGCCTCCCCCTCCCCCAATCCTATCATTTGGGAACAAGGTTGAAATTGCATCAGAGGGTCAGGATTCGACTCAAAAGCTTCCCCAACACTTGTGTGACACTTGGCAAGTGGCTTGATCTTTTGAGTCTCAATTTCCTTGTTGTAAGATGGGGATAATATCGGAGCACCCTGTTTATTATGAAAATTAAATAAGGAAACACAAATAGAGTGTAGGACCTGGAACACAGCAGGGGACTTATTTCATTCAACAGCAAACATCTAAGACCTACTGTGTGCCAGGGTCTCTATAACAGGGGCTGGGGGCCACATTAATAGACAGGATAAACATGGTCTCCACCTGTTACTTACAGGAGAGGAGGGGTGACAAACCTTGAATGAGAGGGACTGTGTGGAGTAATGTTTAAGCAACCGGGTTGGAATGGGTTGGAATCCCATTCATTCACTAACTGGGTGAAGTAAGCAAGCACAAGGCTTTAGACTTTGATTTACCTGCAGTAAAATGAACCTGAACAACACCCATTTCACAGAGGGGCAAGGGTTACATGAGCTGACATGTAAAACTATTCCCAGCACCAAGTAGTACACATAGGACCATCGTGGGCTGCAGGATTGTAACAGGCAGAGAGCGGAGATGATGCCAAGGCTCAGAAACATGCCATCCGGAAGGCACCTCTGTGCCTTCCCCATGGCATGTGCTCCTGAAGGAGGGAGGCCCCAAGGAAAGCGGGGGGCATTGCTGAGGATGCTGGGGAGCAGGAAGAGGAGGAAGGGGTGAAGGTAAAGAGGAACAGCAAGATGGTTTAAGGAGCTGGGGCACCGAAGCCGGTCGGGGTTTGAAGGGAAAGAGTGGCAAGATGAGTTTGAAAGCTTTAAAGTGTTCCTTCCACTTAGCCCATGAGGAACCAGGACAATCTGTCTTGTTTATTACTGAAGCCCCAGGCCTGAGTACAGAGACGGGGCGATTCCTTGCTGACTCTCATTCCCGCTAGGACTTCCAGATTCACCAGCTTTTACATCTGGTTTTTCCAAGAGTGAAGCAGGCAAGGAAAGATTTAGGAAGGACTGAAGTTAGAATCCGGACCTGGGACGCCTACATGCTCACGCCCACACTCCTTTTGGGACCCAATGGAGTCAGGTGTCCCTGGGTTTGAACTCTTGGGCAAATCATTTCTCCTGGGTGTTGTGAATATTCAGTGACATACGCGGCCATCTAGCCTGGTTCATATCATGTTCTCGGGAAATACAACTTGCACCTCTTTCCTCTCTAATCCTCATCTCCTCTCCGTCCCTTCACCAGAAGGCGGAGTGGCCAAAACCGGAGGAGGAGGGGTGTGGCTGGGAGCGGACTCCGAGGAAGCTGAGGAGAAAGTGCATTTTTAAAATGTACAGTACCATTTGCAAAGGGACAAACTGTTCAGCCCCTAAATCAGTGTTTACGAGGTAGGGGAGTGACAGAATCCCACCCGCGGTAATCCCTCGGAACCCATAACCTGGGAAGAGGGTCCCCAGGGGTGGAGCCGGGCATCGCGACTCCGCCTAGAGGGCAGATGACACCAAGCTAGGCGCACGTGGAAGGGGAACTGCTTTCCCAGGCAGGGTCAAGCGGGGCCTCCGGCCAGGTTTAGGGACAGTGTGCGGAATAGGCTGGAGGGGGAGGTGAATTTCTGAAAATCCCAGAAAGCAGAGCCCTGGAGGCGGAGGCGGAGAAAGCCCACCGCCCTGCACTGCTAAGCGAGTGGATCTGGACTTTGGCGTAGGCCCGCGGCCACTCTAAGGAGGGTGTCCCCCACCCGTGAGCTTCAGATGGGACGCGCCCCGTCTCCAACCTCCCACCCTTGCCCCTGGGCCCAGTCCCACCTTCGCTCTCGCTCGTACAGCCTCCGGGAGAGCCGGGAGGCGTGGTCTGCGGGCGGCCCGCCCCTTTGATGTGCGCCGGCGCCACTGTGATTGGACAGTCGCTTGTGACGTGCGGGGACTGCGGTGGGTCCCGGTGCTGCAGCAGCCGCAGCGCCGGCAGCGGCTCGGGCTCCCGCTCCCGGGCATTTAAAGGGGACGCGGCCGCGGCCCGGGGGGATGGGGGTCAAGTGGAGGGGACAGCTCAGAAGCACATCATCCACGGTCCCTCTGGACTGGAGGGACTCGTGAGCCGAAGCCAAGAAATCCGGGGGTGGATAAGACACCGCGTCCCCTTCCAATTCCCGTAAGCACCGCTTACTCCATCCTGCGCCTAAATACCTTACCTAGACCCCCTCCCCACTCCTTACACTTCAAACTCTGCCGGGACAGAGCTCTGCCGCCACTGTTACCACGTGAGTGCTGGGCTCCGCGAGGTGGGGAGGGCTGGGGTCCCAGTGTAGGGTGGGGGCTGTGTGGAGTTTCAGGGCGCTCGCTCACGCCCGTGGCGGTGGGGGAGTCCCTGGAGCAGAGGAAAGAGTCCTCTTACGCCCCCAAGAACTTGGTGCCCCCGTGTCCCTTCGTTCCAGCTCTGGCAAAGCCATGGAATAGGTGCCTTCTTGCTCCCTGTCGCCCTCTCCCCAAGCCGCGCACCCCCCGCCCGCATTAAAGCGAAGCGCCCGCCAGCTGGGGGTGTGCCAGAGTGCCTGCTTTCCAGTCACCTCTAAAAATATCTCCCCCCACCCCACCGCAGCTGCCACCTCTCTACCCCTACCCAGTGAGGATCTCCTCTCAGCTTGTCCACCCAGGCGGGGAGAGAGCCCAGAGGTGACTCCTAGTCTCAGATTCTCACTGGCACCAATGCACGATCATTGCCCCGAAACTATCAGGACGGGGAGCTCAGAGCCTAAGGGAGCCTCCAGGGCCATAGGAGAAGCTCCAGCTGCAGTTTTCCCAGGAGGCTCAGAGACCCCTGAGTTCTAATCCTGATTCTGATGCTGTGTGATCGCCCCCTCCCCATGGGTGATGTTAGCTTGACCTCTCTGGGCCTGTTTTTCCTAGCTGCTGTTGGGGGTTGGTGAACAAGAAAGGTGGTGAAGTTGGGGGTGCTGTGTGGGGGATGGAGGGAATTCCAGCTTTAAAATGTTAACTCTGATTTCTAGTGATATGAGACTTGTTTTGGGACAGAGAGGGCTTGGTACAGTGGGATTTCAGGAGTCCTCAACCCCATTCCCATCCTGTGTTTGCCCTTTGCAAAACTGCCCCAAAACTTTTTTTTGGTACCAGGGATTGAACTCAGAGGCACTCCACCTCTGAGCCAGATCCCCAGCCCTATTTTATATTTATTTAGAGACAGGGTCTCAATGAGTTGCTTTGGCAACTCGCTGTTACTGAGGCTGGCTTTGAACTCCCAATCCTCCTGCCTCAGCTTCCCAAACTGCTGGGATTACAGGCCTGAGCCACACAGTGCCAGGCTCCCCAAAACTTTTCCTGAGGACTTCATCTACCCACTAGAAGGGGGAATTTCAAGTTTAAGGCCCAATTTCAAAGAGGGTCCTTTTTCTTCCCCATTCCCAGGAACTCTTCCACTCTCTTCACATAGATTTAATCTTTGAGTCAAAGATAGGAGGAAGCTGGCAGGAACCTATGATCCCAGATAAATCAAGGAGTCAGGCACTAATCTTACATGGGACTAGAAATGGACTCCCTGCCACTCCCAGAAACCCTACTCTCTTCTCCCTGCTCTAGCCTGAGAGAGAAACTTAGAGATCCTGACCTTCTGGAGACCCTCTTGGTGACCACAAGGATTTGATCACTCAGGACAAAGCTGCGAGAGGTGAGTGAGCTTTTGGAATTTACAGGAGCCAGATTCTAACTGGGGAAGGCCCCTCTAATTGCTTTGGGTGGGGTGGGGGTGTCACAGCATGGACTATTCAGTCTCCAGGGAAGATGCTTGGCTTTCTGCTTTGAAGATGAAAAGAATCAAGGGCAATCTACCAAACAAGTGTTTAACTGATTTCCCTAAATACTATTAGATGAAAAAATGTAGCTATGCCTTTTATTATGAGAAATGAGAAGTTTTGAACATAATTAAAGATCAGAAGGATATACCAAGCCAGGCGTGGTGTTGCATATTTGTAATCCCAGCAACTCAAAAGGCTGCCTGGAGGATCACAAGTTCAAGGCCAGCCTGGGCAACTTAACCAGACCCCGTCTCAAAAGAAAAAGGGGTGAAGGATGTAGCTCAGTGGTAGAGCACCCTTGGGTTCAATACCTGGTTTAAAAAAGGAATAAGAAGAATATTCCAAAAAAGAAAGGATACACGGACAAAGTGGTGAGACCCTTTTCTGTGGGATGGAAGTTGGTCTCTGTCACTCTCTCTGGCCACCCCATCGTCTTCCTGTCTTTCCTTTGCTTCTCTGCGTGCCTGACACGTGCCTATCCATGTTTGCTTTTGCAATGGGAGTGGCATCCTCTGACCTTTCTCCTTGACTCATCTAGACCCAGCAGACTTGTAATATCACCCAGGATTCTGACTGGGGAAACCCTCCCACCAGCCTGCCATTCCCTTGCCCCCCATGTCTTCCTCCCTCTCACTTTCTTCTTAACCCATGTCTCCTTTCTCAACCTATCACACTCTTTGCCAACTGCACCATTCAGCTTTGAGCCCTCTCCCTATTCCCAATTAAAAGTTGTTGGGGGAAAGTTTAAACCCATATCCTCTCCTCACTGAAATGGTAATGCACGCGTGGTCAGGGGATGGGTGGGCAGGGCATGCTATGAGATGGAAAGTCATAGAGCCTATGTTCTGTCCCTGTATGACCCAGTCTCTGTAGAGGCCAGCAGCTTCTCCCTGCTCCCCTGGGATGGTCAGGGGAGAGTGTCACCTTGACAAAGTCAGAGGCATTTACAGTGTCATCCATTGTCACCAGCAGAGGGCAGCAAGCAGTCAGATCTTTGCTCCTGGTCTAGTCTCTTGGCTCTTAGTAGCTTTCCAGTTGTCCAACATGCCTCTCTCTGGTCTCTCACTCAACCCTTGGATGGAAGGGGTTATGGGAGCAGGGAGGAGCTGGCAGCTCTATGTGGTGTTCTTTGTAGCTGCATCGGTGTAGGCCTCAAAGAGGCCAAAGCTGGTCCCCAAAGGCATGCAGCAAAATCCAGCAGAGATTTCAACCTGACTCCTGTCCTATCTGCTGGATCCCAGACCTCTGAGAGCACTAGAGAGACCATTTCCAGATCACTTGTAGAACCCAGGGGTGTCAGCGCCCCCAGTTTTGATACAATAAATGCTGATCACTGGCCTTTCCACATCATTGTATTATTTTGGTGTGGTACTGGGGATTGAATCCAGGGACGCTTTACACTGAGCTATTTCCCCATCCTTTTCTATTTTTATGTTCTACTTGTGTGTGTGTTACTGGGATTGAACCCAGATTTTGGCATATGCTGGGTAAGTACTCTTCTATTGAACTAAATCCCCAGTCCTTATTTATTTTGAGACAGGGTCTCGCTAAATTTCCCAGGCTTGTCTTGAACTTGTGATCCTCTTGCCTCAGCCTCCCAAATTGCTGGGATTACAGGCATGTGCCATGGTGTCTGGAGGCCCCTTACCTTTTGAGGGCACAGAGAAGATAAAGCTATGGCCAAGGGTTCATGAACCATACTCTACCCCATGTAAACAGCATGGCCTTGGGCAAGTAAGTCAACCTCTGAACCTTTATCTGCTGATCTCACCAGACTGAGTAGTAAGAGAATGAGTAAAAGTGGTTTGTAAACTATGATGTATGACCCTACATGTGTAGGGGGCAGTGATCACACTGGAGAACTGGACTCTGGACTCTGAAATATGGTTTTGAGATGCTACTGCCACTCACAGTGGCAAATCAGTTGTGTTGGTCTCTAATATAACGCCATCTGTGACCTCTCTGGCATGCTAGGGGACTGTAAGAGGTACATCTGTAATAACCAAGGTACATCTGTAAATGCTGTGCCCATTTAAGGGCTTGCTTTTGCTGAGATCCTGGGAGTGGCTACTGGGGCTCAGCAAGAGAACAGGGCCAAGTGGGCAGAAGTGGTGGAAGCAAAGCCAGCTGACTGGGCCCAGTAAATGGACTTTTTGATTGTCAGGAGCTCTGCAGAACAGCTGGAGGCCAACAGAGTCCCTAGAGGCGGTGATGATGAGTGGGTGTCTTTCAGTTGCTGGCCTCCGATGCCTGACTAGGGTAAGTGGATCCCTCTGGGATGGGGCTTCAGCCCACATTTTCCCACTGTGGAGTGGGAGGAGCCCTATCCAACCCCTTTCAGGCTTGCTCTCACCTCCATCTGGGCTCCACTAATCCCTGAAAGCTTCTATCCCAGGTGTGGGATACCTTACATCCTCAGCTCCAGGGATCCTGGGCTGAGACTCCCAGATGGATGTTGGTGAGAGCAGAGGATGACTCTAGGGATGAGGTCAAAGGGACCATTCTGTCAGGGAGGCGAGTAACCAGGTTCAAATCTTTAAAATGAGGAGTTTAGGCTTTTTTCTACAAGGTCTGCCAGGCCATCAACATACCAGGCAGATTAGAGAGAGGGGAAGGAAGAAACCAGACTCCATCGAGATGAATTGGGGTGGGAGGTGGGGTGAGGGAAGGCAATGTGGTGGGTATTCTGAAGCTGTACAGGATCCATTCATGCTGTCTCTCACACTTAGCTGCTGCTGGCAAACAAGGTGGCAGCGACATGCCGTCGAGGGCTCTCGCTGTCTTCATTTGCTTGCCTTTCTTTGTGCCCTGACACTTCCCCTTTGCCCCCATCCTTTCCCATGCTGTCCACACACACATCACCACCACCACCATCCCTCCTTAACATAACTGTGGCCCAAGGTCTCACTTCCTGGACACCCCTCTCTGTCTTCCTGTTAAGCAGTCTGTCTCCACATTCCACAGCATGACTTCCTCCTAGTCCTCCCCTCACGTGCCCACTACCTGCCCCCTCCTCCTCTGCCTTTTCAGCCACTGCTGCTCTCTTTCCTCTCCCTTACCTGTCTCCCAGGTATGCCGTGGCCTGGCGAGGGAGGCTTCTACCTTCCCAAGCCCCACTGCTTCTCCTGCTGCCCGCTTGCTTCGGACTCTGGCAGAAACCCCACCTGCTGACACGTTCCTCCCAGGGAATTGGCAAGTGATTAGTGATCAGCTGTCAGCACAGGGCTCTAAAATCCCTGGAGAAGCTCTATCTCATCCCTGGACCCCTATCCAGAGCCATCTGTCTGGAAGCAGCTCCCAGAGAACCCCCCTGGGTCTTATGTGGTCAGTCTACCTACTTGGTAATTCCAAGGGCCCAATCCAGTTCTCTGGCCAGTGCAGAGGCCCAGGCACCTAACCCTGAGGCCTGGCACTCCATAGCTACCTGCCTAGGAGGATGCCCAAAGACCCTTCCCTGGAGCCTGGCTCCTTATTGTCCATCACAGTCCCATAAGCCATTGATCCTACAAGGACCAAAAGGAAAATAAGGAGGTTACTCCAGCGGGGTGCATGGGTAGTCCCCCTGTCCCCCAACTCTGCTTGTGTTGAGAAAGGAGGATCTATTCCTTTCACCCCCCTTTTTTCCATACCAACCACAAGGGCCACTGGAATTCTCTAAATCATTCTTGTCCAGGAACCTCCCAAAGGGACAATCCCTAGGAAGCTACTTTTCTAAATTGACCCTTGCAAACCTCATCCAGTGACCCTGGGTGAGATTAGCAGAAACAGGAACCAAAGAAACCCTTCAGGGCTAGGATGGTCCCCTGGGTGTGAATCCTAGTATGGCTAACTAAGGCACAAGAGGGTGGGCGGGGAAGGCTGGGTGGGGGTCAGCTTTGGGTACTCCTCAGAGCTTAACCAGCCTTGGGTCCTCCTCAGGTCTTGGACGTGCCAGCGCCTTTGGCCGTGGCCCGCTAACCAGCCTCTCCCTGGCCGGCTCCCGCCGCGCCCCCTCTTGCTTGTCCCTTCTTCCTCCTCCTGCTCCCCTCCCTCCTGCTCCCAGGACAGCGGGATGGCTGCTCAAGGCACACCGCGCTTCCTTTTGACCTTCGACTTCGACGAGACCATTGTGGACGAAAACAGCGACGACTCCATCGTGCGCGCTGCGCCGGGCCAGCGGCTGCCCGAGAGCCTGCGAGCCACCTACCGCGAGGGGTTCTACAACGAATACATGCAGCGCGTCTTCAAGTACCTGGGTGAGCAGGGAGTGCGGCCTCGGGACCTAAGCGCTATCTACGAGGCCATCCCCCTGTCTCCGGGTATGGGAGACTTGCTGCAGTTTGTGGCCAAGCAGGGCTCCTGCTTCGAGGTTATTCTCATCTCGGATGCCAACACCTTTGGTGTGGAGAGCGCTCTGCGCGCCGCCGGCCACCACAGCCTGTTCCGCCGCATCCTCAGCAACCCATCTGGGCCTGACGCTCAGGGACTGCTGGCGCTGCGGCCCTTCCACACGCATAGCTGCACGCGCTGCCCAGCCAACATGTGCAAGCACAAGGTGCTCAGCGACTACCTGCGCGAGCGGGCCCACGATGGTGTGCACTTCGAGCGCCTCTTCTACGTGGGCGACGGTGCGAATGATTTCTGCCCCATGGGGCTGCTGGCGGGCGGTGATGTGGCCTTCCCGCGCCGCGGCTACCCCATGCACCGCCTCATTCAGGAGGCACAGAAGGCCGAACCCAGCTCCTTCCGTGCCAGCGTGGTGCCCTGGGAAACGGCCACCGAAGTGCGCCTCCATCTGCAACAGGTGCTGAAGACTTGCTGAGCACTGCCGCTAGAGGGGGCGCCCGGGGCAAGAGCGGGGAGGAAGGGCGGGGAGGGGAAACTGGGAAAGACAAACCTAGTTTTACTACTCCCTTTCCCCTTTGGCTTTACTATGTCCCTCCGGAAATTTCTGGAATTTCGTTCATTTGGGGGCCGGGAGAGGAGTTCGGAACGGTCCCTAACTATGCAGTTAACCCAGATCGGCTGCTGTCCCCTGCAGCAAACCCTTTAATTCTGGAGTCTGGTCCTTGGGGGAGTGGCGTGCATACCTTTTGAAAGATAGCAGTGTTTCCAAAACCCATGTGCTCTGAACTGGGAGGTGGGGGCTTCTTGACAGATAAGAAAAGGAACACCTCCCACTGCTTTAACTGCTGCCTCGGGCTGCGTAACCTCCCCTTCCCCCAGTCTTTCCTCAAGGGGGACCCAGGATTCCAAATTCCTCGGGGCACCGGACTCTCCGTGGAGACAGATGATCCTCTCTGCTGACAGCTCCAGGCCTCCTGGATCTTGCTTCAGCCCCGGAAATCTCACTATTTCTGTGCTCGCAACACCTTGCCGCCCCCCTCCTACCCGGTCAGCACCTCTATACGGTAAAAAAGAAAAAAGGAAAAAAAAAAAAAAAAAAGCCAGCAGGATAGTCGCCTCCTAGTGGTGGAGTGAGGTAGCACACCGTCCACCTCAGGTTAACGCCTGCCAGGGACTTCGCTGCGTGTCTCCTTGCATCCCAGCGTCGTCTATGCATCAAGAGCCCAGGGACTTCACCAAAGTCGTCCTCCACGTCCCCCTCCTTCCATATGGAACAGGAAGCCATGATGTTTTTAAGCAGAGCCAGGGAAACCCAAGCCCCTTCTCCCTCTGGTGTTTGAGAACTATAAAGGAGGTGAAGGGGGACAAAGTGACTGAGATCTCTACTGCGCCGCCGTCTGAGGGTTGAAAATGAGATGTTGTTTGCTCTCAGCCTCTCTTAAGTGAGGGAGGTTGTCCCCGCTATTCAAATTGAGGAACCAAGGCTGAGTGCGCGCGCGCGCACACACACACACACACACACACACACACACACACACAGAGACCGGGAGGGAGGCACGCGCAAGGGTCTAAAGACCCAGACACTCACTGCCAAAGACTTGGTGGTCTGGTGGAAGGAACACTAATGAGGACTAATGAGGACTGAGGAGGTGGAAAGGCACTGCTACTGGGGCATTCTGCAGGGCTACAGCAGGAGCCTTAGAATTGAGTGCCTTTCAATCCCTCCCCTCTGGTCCTCTAGCCCTGCAGGGCAGTCATCAGGTCATCAGTTTTATTCAAAGTTGGTACTTGCAGCTGGAGACCCCACTCTGCATGGATTAGGGGTCCTCTGTGGACAACATCACAGTAAGTCTCTGGGTATCCTCTCTCTGTCCCTAGGACCTCTCCCCCGCAACAATAAGGGGAAAGAAACAACACAGCTCACAGACTAAGAGGTGGCCTAATCCAGAGCTTGACTGGAGCAGGCTTTGTTCTGGGGCTCAAGACACCTGCTCCCTGCAGACCCTGGGTGGGTACAGGGAGATCCCTGAGCTGTCAGCTGCTGGGCTCCACATAATTCCCTGGGAAGAATCCAGTCCCCTCCGAGCAGACGCCCTCGCACCAGCCATCGGAGTAGCGGCGGGTGACGCAGATGACCGTGCCCTCAGAGAAGGAGAGCTCGTTGTCCTTCTGGCGGGTGTATGGGTACAGTGTCACCACTGCAGGGCAGGATGAAAGGGTGCATGAGTTGTGCCTCCTGCCCCCTCCTGCATAGAGATGGAGGGGCCAAACACTGGACTCTAGGGGAGCAACTGGGAGAGAAGGCTGCAGGGAGTAGGAGTGCCTTCCGAGCTTTCAGGCCCCCTCCCCAGCTTAGTATTCAATGCTAGACCAGCTGCTTCCTATCCAATCACATCACCGGAGGGGGGACGGATAACAAGTTCATACCTTTGCAGAGGGAGGGGAGAATGCCTTTGGAGTGGGAGAATGGGGGTCAGGGCAAAAGAGGGCTGCAGGATCTGGTGCCCCTCCGTTCTAGGACTCAGGTACCTTTTTCCAAGTATGCCTCAGGGACCCAGCTGGGTTCATCCATCCAAAGCCTGGCGGGGGTGGAGGTGGCAGCCCCAGGTCCTCTACTTCCAGAGGTGGAGGAGGGGGCAGGTCCAGGGGCAGGGGCAGCTCTGTGGCAGGGAGGGAAAGCAAGGGCTGCCTCCGGAAGCCGCTGCTCCAGAGGAGGCCCAAGATCTATCCATTTCATGCTATCTCCCTCCAGGGTGCACCCATCCTCCCATATTTCTATAGCATGTAGAAGGTGCTCAGAACACGCTGAAAGATCGAGCAGTTTAGAGTAGTAAGACTTTGCCATTTAACTAGGTGGCACTAGTCAGATCCCCTTACATCGGAGTCACAGCTTTTTAGCCTGTTAAATAAGAGTGTGAAGATTGTCTCGGGTTAAGTTGAAATGAGAAGATGGGAGAGAAGCTTTGAACATGGGGCCTGGTGTTAAGTAGGTGCCAGTTCTTAGTTCACTCGCTCTGCCGCCTTTCGCTCGGGTCGGTGTAACAGCCACGCAGCGCTCGCAGAAGCTCGCAGGGTGACAGCCAAGAGCTACCGGGTGCAGAGGTGTGACAGAGACCTCGGGACAGCGACACCGGGAAGGGCGGGGCTCCTTACCTGGTGGGGGCGGGGACAGCTCCTCGAGGAGGGGAGGGGGCGGCAGAAACACCTCTGCGGCGGCGGCGGCGGGTGGAGGAGGTGGAGTTGGGGGAGCCTGTCCCTTGGACTGAGGGACCCCACCGACACCTTCGGCGCTGCTGAAGCCCAGAGAAAGCCGGGTTGGGACACTTTCTGTAAGACGGACCCCAATAGGCCCCGCTCCCCCCATCCGAAACCCTGCTTCCTAACTTTGCCTCTGTGATTCCCCCCAACCTCATGGTCACCGTGATGACGGGCCGGGGACCTTATATCCACAGCCCACCCACCACCCTCTCGGGCTCGATTGTGGGGCTCACCCGGCGGAGGTCAGGGAAGAGGCGGAGGAGGCGGCCGAGAGTTTGCCATCAGGCACCACTGGGAGCTGCACGGGCTCCGGGATCCGGGGTGGTCTCCTGGGGAGGGGGTAGCATAAGGGGGAACATTTCTTGGCCGGCAAGGCTTGGTTCGAGGAGGAGGGGATGCTGGCGGAGGGGTGGTTGGACGCCGGGCGTCAAGCACAGCACCAAGAGCAGCGGGGCGCCAGGCGGGGGCGGGGGAGTGGTTTCGGGACCGCGCGCTGCAGCCCGGGGCTGGTTAGGAAGCGATAGGAGCCTCACCCCAGCGTGGTGGAGGCAGGTGTTGCAGGCGCCTTGATGCTCTTTCGAGACAGGGTCCCAGTCCGTGACAGCTGCGTGCTCAGGTCCTGCCAGGAAGGCGGGTAGGGCTGGCATCTGGGGTGTGGGGCCGCAATCCCCATCCTCCTCGCGGAGGAGGGGGGTGGAGGGGCGGACGAGAAGTGGGAGGGAGAGCGGGGCCTCGGCAAGTTCCCTCTTCCACTTCCCAGCTCCTCTCCTGCCCTACCCACATCTCCACTTGCCTCCTGTCATTGCCCGGTCCCCAGGGCCTCAAGTCTGCCACAGGCCCTACTGACCGACCGAGTAGGAGTTTCTGACTGAAAGGCAGAGCATAGACGTCGGAGGGCCACTTCCTCTGCATAGCCACAGTGACTGAGTGGGCCCCTCAGCTTCTCCCTTCCCCCAAACCATCCCAGAGCCGGGGGAGCTGGGGTGCCTTGGTGGTTCTTAACTTTGATTAGATCTCAACCCCAACATGAGCTGAGAAGTGGACAGGGCATTCTCAGAAGGGTCTCACCTGTCATTTTCATAGAACTATGGAAGTGACTTCTCAGAGTACAAGACAGAGGAGCAGGACCCGCGACACTTAGAAGGTAGTGTGCAAATGTCAGGGTGTGAACCATTACAAGAGGGCACTTTTGTAATTGGAATTTTGTCAAGAGTGAGCACATGAGGAACTAGGTTCTCTGTTTGCTGTTCTTCACTAGGAATAAGACAAAGGGAACTTGAAGAATAAAGAATAAGTGGAGGGGCTGGGCTGTAACTCAGTGTTAAAGCACATGTTTAGTATGTGCAAGAAGGCCCTGGGTTTGATCCCCGGAACCACCAAAATAGAGTGGGGTGGGGTGAGAGAAATTTAGACAACAGAAATAACTTACTGGTGCAGAGAACTGGTGACGGATTCCCCTTTTGGGAGAGCTGTATATTAGGGATGGTTATGGGGGTCATTTAGACACAGAAGAGCTTGTAATCTAGTCTGGAGTGATGAAGTGTGGAGACAGGAATTGACAAAAGGTGTGTGTGTGTTCTCCTACCCTTCAGAAAGAGATAAGCTGAAAGGAAAGCACCCCTCTCTTCACCATGTTCCTGCTATGTGGCTGCATCCTGCTCCTTCCCACCACCAGCAGCTCTGGGGTGACTGCTCAGTTCAGTAACCTCAAACCCCCAGACAGAGGAAGTCGCTGTTCTCATGTGGTTGGGGAGCTGTTCTCATGCACACTCTGACACCCTCCCTTCCCCCTCTTCCCCTTCACACACACACACACCCAGCACCAACGAGGGGCCAGGCGTGGAGGGAGGTGATCAGGATCTCTCAGCAGATCATCTGAGTACAGGGTAAAGGTCAGTTAGGGAGGAGAGGGTCAAGGGAGAATTACAAGATTTGGGGAAGAGGAGAGGACTCAGGGTGTGGCTGCAGGGAGTGGGGAAAGAGTGATTGCAGGGTAAACCAAGAACATGGACAAGAACTGGGGTCCTAGAGAGAAAGGAGCCTTGAGTCAGGACAGTGCAGGTTGTGGGAAGGGGGGCTCCTTTTCTACCTTGATTCCATGGCCAATGTCATCCAGGCAGCCAAAGTTGAGAGGTCTCCTGCAGTAGGGCGTGAGGGGGGGTAGGCTCTCAGGAGCGATGACTTTCTGGCCAGGGGACAGCCTCTGGACAGTGGCTAAGGTGCCGATCTCCCTTCGGGCCACCTTCTCCATATGCATGTTCACCATCTGCGTGACAGGGTTTGAGGTGACAGTGGGGGGGGGGCAGTCTGTGTCCAGCATCCTTCACTTTAAGGGAGGAAGAGGCTAGAGACATTGGGGTGGGAGCAGGGAATCCCGAGAGGCACTGAGGCCCGGAGGAAGAGTGAGTTTTGTGCCCAAGGCCACACAGTAATTAGGAAAAGAGTAGCACGGGAGGATGGAGTCACTTTGGAGCAACTTCCTGGTGGAAGAGAATGAGGGTTATTATTAGCTGAGCAGGAAGGGAGGAAGAGAGAAACACAACATCCCTGGGGATGCTGGGAAGGGACTGAAGGACAGGGCTGGCCTCGGAGCACAGGGAGATAATGTGGAATTGGCAGAGAATCGTGGCTGGATAGGCTCTCCTCTTTGGGGACAAATAAGTGAATTAACTTCCCCTTAGAATGTTCCATAGAGAAGCCTACATCTCTGAGAGGGTGGGGACTGTGGTCTGCCAGGCTGAGAGGAAAAGACATACCCCATGCACTGACCATGAGAGGGATGCAAGGCCAGGTCCAAGGTACGACTGGATTTGTGCACAAGCTATTTGGGACAGTGCCCTTGCTCAAGGTCCCGGGAAGGAAGGAGGAGGGTGTACATGCTAGAAAGGCTTGGGGATTGACAGTGGTGGCAGTGCCTCCAGGGCTAAAGATGACCTTTGCCAAGCAAGCGCTTGAGTCTAGGATATTTATTAAGTTACTGCCTGTATTTAGATAAAAACAGTGTCCATTTGTGTCTCGCCTGTACTGTGATTGGCAGGCATTCCTTTCTGATGTCAAGGGTAGCATCCAGAGAAAGAAAATGCTTTGCCTTCAGGGAATTCAGCAAAGCCCACCACTGTGACCTAGCTAGAGATAAGGAGCCTCCCAAAGCTTAGAAAGTGCCAACCTTCTGCAGTCAAATTGGGCACTGGGACATGAAGGAAGGCAGGAAGGAACTTTTGCTACAGAAAATGTCTGAGTGGGGCTGAAGAGCCGGGGGTTGATCCGAAATGTCTTCCATACACTTACCTGGCCCAGGGTGCTCACGCGGGCTTCCACCTGTCGCAGGGCAACTCCCTGCAGGTCCAGCATTCGCAGAGTGTGCCCAGCCAGGTTGCCCACCTGGTAGGCCACACTGGCCAGTGCCTGGGTGGTGAAGGCCATGGTCTCCTCTAGTGCTTTCCGCTTGTCTGTGGCCTGAAAAACAGACAGTCCTGGCCTGAGTCCAGCACATTCCATTGGGTCTTTGGTTGGGTGGGATGGAGTGGGAGATGATATAGAGAAGACAGGAGCAGAATTGGGAGAAAGTGGCAACCCTTAGATGTTGAAGTGGCTTCTAGAGGAATGATGTAGGAAGAGGGACTCGGGGCATACCTCCTTGTGGAATGGGTATGGGGGCAGAGAAAGATAGCCTTCCTCCAGTAATCAAGCTGAGGATGGAGCTGAGATGACCCTGCTGCCTCCCTGAGGACTTCAGCGATAAATGTCCCTTGGAGGTTGGGAGGTGAATAGAAAAAAAGAAAAAGGAATGCATACTGGCTGGAGGAGATATCCTTAAATTTAAAAGGCAATCACAGGAAGTTTGCAGGTTCCAGGTCAGCCTCAGCAATTTAGTAAAGCCCCAAGCAACTTAGTGAGACCCTGTCTTAAATAAATAAATAAACAAGGGCTGGGGATGTGGCTCAGTGGTTAACTCCCCTGGGTTCAATCCCTTGTACAAAAAAAAAAAAAAAAAAAAGCCACCCAACCTCATCCTCCACCCCCTGACCTTTAAACTGAAATTCTCTTCAGAGCAAGACCAAGGAATCTGTACCTGAATCCTCCTCAAGTGGCTCTATGCTCCTTGTTGAGCCCCAGTCTGTGGTTTGGTGCTTGGGAACTCAGGTAAGAAAACTGTAACCCAGAATGGAGTGACCTCATTCATTCATTCATTCATTCCTCTAATAGCTTCCTAATATGCTGAGAATAAAATCCAAACTTCTGACCAAGACCTGTAGACAGCACCTCCAGGTCTGGCTCCTGCCTTTTTCTTCATCCTCTCCTCTACCACTCCCCTTTCTCACTTACTCCCTTGCATCTAGCTCCAGGAACTGGCCACCGGGGTTCTGTTCCTGGACAAGCTAGATCAGTTCTACCTCAGGGCCATTGCATTTTCTGTACTCCTTAGAATCCTTGTTAATTGGTTTCACCTCAGAGACACTTTCTCTCTATTGACTATCACATTTTCCCTGTTCTTCACAGCATTCAGCACTATCAGATATTATTTGTTATGGGGTGTGGTGGAGCACGCCTGTAATCCCAGCAGCTTAGGAGGCTGAGGCAGGGGGATTGAGAGTTCAAAGCAAGCCTCAGAAAAAGCAAGGTGCTTAGCAACTCAGTGAGACCCTGTCTCTAAATAAAATACAAAATAGAACTGGGGATGTGGCTCAGTGGTTGAATGCCCCTGAGTTCAATCTGGGTACCTCCCAAATAAATAAATAAATATAATTTGCTTATTTACCTCTATATTATCTATTCCTCTCCCCCAAATGTAAGTGCTATGAGTGTAGGGAGTTTGTCTGGGTCTGGAAGAGTGCCCAACACACAGGAGATATTTAATATGTGTGGTGTTTTTATTATTTATTTATTTTTGTACCAGGGATTGAATTCAGGGGCAATTAACCACTGAGCCACATCCACAGCCTTTTTTATATTTTATATAGAGACAGGGTCTTGCTAAGTTGCTTAAGGCCTCACTAAGCCACTGAGGCTGGCTTTGAACTCATGATCCTCCTGCCTCAGCCTCCCAAGCTGCTGGGATTATAGGCGTTTGCCATCACACCTGGCAACAGATACTTAATAAATATGCATTTGTAGGAGCCCAAACGCTTGCTGGCCACCTGTCAGACACTGTGTGGGGCACTGTTGAGGGTCACACTGCCAGTCAGTAGAGGAGGGATGAGCAGAAGGTGGCTAAACACAAAAGACATCTTTTGTCAGTCCCAGATCAGGCAGGGGCAAAACTTCTCTGGTCTTTTGCTTCCTCTGGCAACTTCGGCATCTCCCATGGGGTCCTGAGCTTGTTGACTCTACCCTGTACCTTCCCTGGGGGGCAGGGCCCTGCACTGACAGGAAAGGCCACCCTTGGGGTCTCCTTGCTTCAGCTCTCAGATGCTGCTCCAGACCTGTTAGTGGGGAACAGACCTAGACATTTTCAGAGTCCTGAGAGAAACCTGGCTGACTCCCAGAACCTTCTGGGAAGCCCTCATTCTGGTCCTCTCCTCCCTGCCTTTCTGCTCCAACAGCAGGAAAATGATGCTCCTTTGCATGCCAATTTACATCTAATCCACATATGTAACTAAATTTACATCTCATCAGCATATGTCACCAAAAGACTTTGAATAGGCAAAGAAATCAACTCAGGATGTTAAACCAGAAAGGGCAGCAGGTCTTGTTCAAGCTCAAGATCTTCCCTCAGTAAGTGAGGAAACAAGCCCAGAATGAAACTAACTACTCCTGGGTCTCCACCCAAATTTCTTAACTCTTCTTCTGGACAGTTCCCTCCCCAGACTGGCATGTGAAAATGTCAGCCCAAACAGGAAAAGTGTGTGAGCCCAGCTCTGTGTGCCTTAAGCCTGGACACTTTCTGACCCCCAGCTCTGGTCTTAGTCCAAAGTTAGGGCTGGAGGAACAAAGGTCTGGAACCCATCATCAGGGCCGCCAGCTCGTTCACCATGCAAATTACTCTGTTTGTAAAGTCAATCAACCCTGACTGAGAACTCTGCAGTTGACCCCAGTCGGCTTTCTCCCATTTCCCATGAATTTCCTGTCACCATGGTTGGAGTGGGAAGAGAGAGGTTGAGGTGGAGAAGAAGGGGCCAGGAATGAGGCCAGAAAAGGTAACTGGTTGCATCTCTAGTAGTTAGTGCTCTGCATGAAGAAAGCAAGAGTCCAGGGATTCTGAGGGGCCAGGGCTCCCAGTATCTGGAGTGGTTTTTGTTTTGTTTTTGTACCAGGGACTGAACCCAGAAGCACTTAACCACGGAGCCATATCCCCAGCCCTTTTTATTTTTATTTTTATTTTGAGACAGGCTCTCTCTAAATTGCTTAGGGCCTCCCTTAATTGATGAGGCTAGCTTTGAATTTACAATCCTCCTGCCTCAGCCTCCTAAATCACTGGGATTATAGGCATGTGCCACCGTGCCCGGCCTGAAGTGTTTTCGCAAGGGCTGTGTCATCTCAATAGAATGGAGTTTTTTTATTCATGGGTACCTTTCATCCTTCTAAAGGTCAATAATAACAGTGATGAGAATAACTGCTATTTTTCCTGCCCTTCTTAAGCAGTGGGCACTGAGCTAAACGCTCTAATACAGTTAAAAAGTCAAGGTATAAGACTCTGAGGGGGAATTTGCCCCAGGTCCTGTGATTGGCAGGTGGCAGAGGTAGAAATTGGACTCAGGTCTTTGTGACCTCAAATCCTGAGTGTGCCCTGTATGTGCAAACAAGAAAGAACCCATCTGGAAGAACTTCACATGGTGTAGAAGTTATTGAAGAAAATGGAAAGGGATGTTTTTATCCTTGTCCATATAAGCATAGTTTTTAGTGCCAGGAGAACAGAGCTGTTTAGCGATCCATGTTCCATCTCATTACAGGCTGATCAGTCAGCACCTACACAGACTTGGCTTAGAGTATTTTCAGCTCAGGTTTGCTCCGTCCCCACCCCAACTCTCTTATTATGCCAGGAGGCCCTGGGGCAATTCTCTAGAAAAGTAAAGTTTTGCCCAAGAGGTAACAGGCATAGCCATTCAGTCTTAAGGTAACAGAGAAAAGCTACCTGTAATCCCAGTGGCTGGGGAGGCGGAGGCAGGAGGATCTTGAGTTCAAAGCCAGCCTCAGCAATTTAGCAAGGCCCTAAGCAACTCAGTGAGACCCTGTCTCTAAATAAAATACAAAATAGGGCTGGGGATGGGGCTCAGTGGTTAAGCACCCCTGGGTTCAATTCCCTGTACAACAACAACCACCACAAACAAACAAACAAACAAAAAAAGCCATAAAATTAATCAGAGGACATGACAGGGAGGCAGAAGGACGAAGAGGAAAGATATTGGCATGGAAAGTCAGGGAGGCCAGGGCTGATGCTCCGCTCAGCAGTTTCAGAGCTGGTGACCTTGGACAAGTCACCTCACCTCCTCAAGCTGCTGTTTTCAGTTTCGTAAAATAGGAATTTTAATAATTTTCTCCGGAGGCAGTTGTGAGGGTAAATGAAAACACAGAAGTGTTCAGTCATTTGGTTCCTCTGCCCCTCTTCAAGATTCAGGAATCTATTTTGTCTGTCCTGAGACAACCACGCAATTTAAAAAAGACATTTCTACAATGCCACTCTCCTCGCCTTGCCTGGGACCTGCTCCCAGCAGCCATGTCGTAACCCCCTTGGTCTTCATCAGCCCCCTTCTCTTTGGGTGAGCCTGCTCTGACTTTTCTCCACTCTCAAATATCAAGGAACAAATTCCCTTCCCTAGTCTGTCTTAAGTTCACTACAGCGTCCGGGAAGGTCTTCTGACATCTCATCTAGAGCCAGACTGAAATGGAATGTACTAGAAGGAAAGGGTCTTTGGGCCTCTAGAGCAGGGGTTCTGAGAGACATGAGTCTGGGGTCTGGACCAAGAACAGGACGTCCCAGACCTCTGAGGCTCTCCCAGGAGAAGGGGCCCAGTTGTCACTTGAGTAGCTGAGCTTTGGGGCCTGGGCTGAGGCCAAAGCCTGGAGTGGAAGTCAAGGCCCAGAACAAGCACCTGTCAGATGGCTGCCATGGCCCCTGAAGCTGGGCTGCAAGGGCCCTGAGGGCCCGTCGTCCTGGCCTGTGCCCACTCCACCTACCTGTACATAGTTGTCCTCGCAGTAGTCAGCCACCCGCAGCAAGGCGCTGTGGTTGCCTCTCAGAGCCTCCCGGCCCGTGGGGATCTCAAACTCTTGTAGCTGCTGCAGCTCCGCCATCGCCCCCAGCCTCGGTGGGGCTCCCCAGGGAGCCCGCTGGTTTTGAGCCTCACCCTGCCCTTGATTGGTCGCTCTGTCTGCCCTCCCTCTTACTGCTTTTGGTTTCCTCTGCGTGAGAGACCCAAACCTGCTCGCAAAGGGCAGGCAAGCTCATTCCGGGACAAGAGGAAGTCAGTCCCTGCTCCCTGAGCCTGTGCCTCTCTGTCCCCAGCCCAGAGGAAGGGGGAAGCCAGGGGGGCCTGTTTGGGGGCCCAGCCCCCAATCCCACCCAGAAGAGGAAGCCAAGGTCCAGGAGGCTGTGATTGCTCCCTGGTCCTGGAGAGGAAACTGGTCGGTGGGGGGATGGGGTGGGAGACTGAGGAGGAAGGGGGCTGGTCTGCTATGGGGGTGTGGATTTTCCACTCATGGAAGAGGGGAGGAAAGGGCAGAGGGTGGGGGCTTCCTTGGGAAGCCCTGGGATGAGTCACCAAAGGACAGGGGAGTGGAGGGTGGATACGATATAGAGATAAGTCATACTGGGGGGGGGGGTGGGGACTGTGGACAGTGACAATGAATAACAACCCATGCAGCAGCAAGAGAAATCAGGGTTAGACACTAGGAAGACACAGGCAGAAGCTCCTGGAGAAGTGTTACCAAGCCTGCGAAGGGTCAGGTGAGATAAAGTTTTGCTATAGAGACTCTGTGTCTGATGGAGGTTGAACAAGATGAAACTGACTGAGTGTGACATCTGGTGTGAGGGACTCAGAAATCAGACAACAGGAAGGATTTCAATTTGAGACAACACGAAGTTAAAGTTCCAGGTTAACTTGTGGGTTGGGGGCAGTAGTAATGGACAGAGCATGGAGCCTCCCTCTAGAGCCACGGGCTCCATCCAGGTCATGTCTTCACAGGGGAGCTGAGGGCTGGGGATGTAGCTCAGTGGTAGTGTGTTCGCCTACCACATGTGAAGCCCTGGGTTTCATCCCCAACACCACAAAAAAGTAAACAAGAGGGGAGAAGTTGGTGAATTCTGGGATTCTGTCTAATTCTCAGTGTTTGGTGGGGCGTGGTGGCACACGCCTGTAATTCCAGTGATTCAGAGGATTGCAAGTTCAAAGCCAGCCTCAGCAATTTAGCAAGGCCCTAAGCAACATAATGAGATCCTGCCGGGGATGTAGTTCAGTGGTAAAGTGCCCCTTGGTTCAATTCCTAGTACCCCCCCCAAAAAAAAATTCTTAGGGTTCACAACTGCACGTGGGTCTTGGGTCCTGGAGTGGGCATGGACCTGCCCCTCTCACCCCCAGTCTGTCAGCCCCAAGGCAGAGAACAAGAGGAGAATGCATTGGTTCCTTAACACCTTCTCCTTGAGAGAGTCTCTTGCATTTGACAGGTGTCAACCAGCGGCATGTGCTGGGAGGATACCAGGAGAAAGACCAGGATGTGGGCCCCTTATCAAGGACTACAGTAGATAAGGGAGACCCACACCTAGGGCTCAGGCCAGGAAGCAAGGACATGGGCAGTAGGGTGGCCATCGCCCCCAGGCCTAAGCGGCACAGTATTGTAAACAAGAAATTTTTATGGAATGAATGAATGAAGAGCGAGCCAGGAGCCCCTGCAAGGTGAAATTGTGGGGAGTCAAAGGAGGACACAAAGGCTTCCAGATGAGGGGAGTCAGGAGCTGGTCTGGGACTTGTCCCCTGGGCAAGAAGAGCCTGGAAGCAGCTCAGAGGTGGGGGACATCAGGCAGGGGGAGCTAGGGCTGGGGGCAGGGAGCTGGAGTAGGAGAAGGCTGAGGATCACTAGAGGGGTGGGGCTGATGCAGAGTGTCAAGGACAAAGCCCAGAGGCACACACTGAAGGTGGCTTCTGTTCCCTACTCTATGGGCAGAATGTCAGCCTCTCTGCGCTGGTGCAGCAGTCTTGGAGGCTCAGGCGGTGGATGGGCTTAGAACCTGAGCCTATGATCAGCTTAGGCATCAGAGATTTGGGTTTCCAGACCATCTGCTTTATCCAAAGATTTTCAGCTGATGAAGAGCTAGGAGGCTCAAACACCATCTTGCCTGGGTCTTGGAGAAGTGACTTGGGGTGCTCTTCTCGGCAGGTGAGGGGGTTGAGGTCTTACTGGGCGGGGATCTAGACTTAGTATGATCGAGGTTAGGCACCAGGCAGGTCTTTTGGATTACCCTGCAGTGATGATAATAATGACATTGTTATCAGTGATAATAATAAGGAGAAATGTGTTATGTTCATTGTGTGCCAGCCAGTGTGTTAAATATTTCATATGCATTAGTTCCTTCTCCTTCTTCTCCTCTTCCTCCTCCCTTTTTTTTTTTTTTTCTTCCTTGAGACTGGATCTCCAGGGATGCTATACCCTGATCCCAGCCCTTTGTATTTTTTTTTTTATTTTTGTGAGACAGGGTCACCCTAAATTGCCAGGGCTAGACACAAACTTGTGATCCTCCTGCCTCAGTTTCCCAAGTCACTGGGATTCAAGGCGTGTGCCACTGTGCCCTGCCATATGCATTATTTTTCTACTTCTCACAACAATCCTGTGAGGTAGGTACTATTATTATAATACCTGTTTCACAGATGGGGAAACTAAGATTCAGGGAGATTGAATGTCTTGCCTTAGGCATGCAGTGAGGAAGCAGCAGAGCTGGGCCCCTGCTCCTAACACTAGGCTGTACTGTCCCCTGCCAGGACTGGAGACAACAAAAAATGTCTACCTGAATCATTTTGTGGAACAGAAGTAGATAGCTTCCCAAATCTTCCTTGCTGAAAGAAACTCATTTTTTCTTCTTTCTCTGTTTTCTTCTTAGACAGGTCCTTATGCAAAAGCAAAGATTGTGCTTCCCCTATCAGACTGAGGGCTTCCTCTCCTCCTGACCCTACACTCATGATTGGGCAGTGGGTGGAGGGATGGAATGAAGACATATCTAACAATGACCTGACCTGAGGGATGCTGCAGGGGAGAGGATAAAAGTTGAGGTATGGAGGGAGTTGGAAGAGCTGATGGGATCCATAATCCTGATTGCTGAACTCTTTCCAGGGCCAGGTCTCTTTAGGGCAAAATGGCGCAAGATCTCAGTGAAAAGGAGCTACTGAAGATGGAAGTGGAACAGCTAAAGAAAGAAGTGAAGAACACAAGAGTTCCGGTGAGCCTCCTCTTCCCTCCCTCCTCTCCTTTTCTCTGTTACTTCCTGTTCTGGATGGATCTGTGATATGAAGGAGGAAGTGACGATAAGGGGATAGTGGGGTCTTTCCTGGGTAGCAAAGGAACCAGGAAGTGCCTCTGGGTTAGGGTAAGATGTGAAAGGAGGCTGGATTTGATCCTTGGGAAAGGTGCCACAGTCCCCTGGGCACAGGAGAAATGACCATGGAGCCCAGTGTGTGTCCAGGTCTGTCTCTAACTGGGCCTGGCCAAGCATCCCAGAAGGTCAAGGCCTCCTACCTACCTGGCCCTTTCACCTTTCTCCTTTTTGGCCTCCATCCCTACCTTGCCCAGAAGCCTGTTTCCCTGGGACTGACCAAGTCACGGATCCTGAGAAATAAACACGGGGTATGATCATATTTTGTGTCCTCACAGATTTCCAAGACAGGAAAAGATATCAAGGATTATGTGGAGGCCCAGGCAGGGAACGACCCTCTTCTCAAAGGCGTCCCTGAGGACAAGAATCCCTTCAGGGAGAAAGGCTCCTGCGCGATAAGCTGATGGCTCTGGGCACCTCCCCCTGCGTGTCTGTCCCTCCTCAGCCAGGACCCAAGTGTTCTGGGAACCCAGAAAACTAGTGATTGTTCACCTTCTCTTGTCACAGACTCAGTAAAGATACTTGAATGAACACGTTGTGAATCTATTCCCTGGCCCCACCTTCCTCCCTGTCCTCCTGCTGGGTCACTGAAGACCCCACTTTCAAAACACCCTGAGCTTTGCCTGAGGAAGTACCCTGAGGCCCCAGAGGTCAGTCCTGGGAAGCATTAGCTACTCCCCAAACCCCTCCATGCTTTCCCTTCCCCCTCTTTTAGGGAAAAAGCTTTTCCACATGGTTTGGGTTGGGAGCTGGGGTTGGGTGGTCCTTTCCCACATCTCGTGTCCTGCCTGTCCTGTGATCCTCTTTCTAGTCATTTAGACCACGCCCCCGCCATGGCCTGATGACACAAAGTTGTTGTTTTTTTTTTTTTTCTTTTTGGCACTAGGGATTGAACCCAGGGATGCTTTATCACTGAGCCACATCAGCCCTTTTTATTTTTCATTTTGAGACAGGGTCTCACTAAGTTGCTGAGAGTCTCCGTAATTGTTGAGGCTGGCCTGGAACTTGAGCTCCTCCTGCTTCAGAATCCCAAGTTGCCCAGATTACAGGCGTGTACCTCTGTGCCCAGCCGACAAAGAGTTTGTAAAGTTGTGATTTCGCGATTTATTTAAAATTGCTGAGGGTCTTATGTGCTGAGCACTAGGGTTAAAAGTATAAGCAGGCCGGGCTGGGGATGTGGCTCAAGCGGTAGCACGCTCGTCTGGCATGTGTGCGGCCCGGGTTCGATCCTCAGCACCACATACAAACAAAGATGTTGTGTCCGCCGAAAAACTGAAAAATAAATATTGGAATTCTAAAAAAAATAAATAAATAAATAAATAAATTTGTTCAATAAGAGTATGAATGCATATTTAAAAAAAAAAAAAGTATAAGCAGGACGAATATGGTTCTATCTTCATGGAATTTGGTGGAGAAGACATGAAACAATTTACAATTAAATCAATAAATGCTACAATGGGAAAAGTCAAGGGCAGTGCAGGAACAACAGTAGATGGACACTCAGGGCAATGAACAAGGTCAGCATGGATGACCCTGGAGGGACTACAGAACGAGGCTGGAGAGGGAGATCAGGGTCAAGTCTTGAAGGGCCTTCCTGAGAACTCAGTTAAGAACTTTGTGTGTGTGTGTGTGCGCCAGGAATTGAACTCAAGGGTGTTTAAACTCCTGAGCCACATCCCCAGACCTTTTTATTTTTTACTTTGAGACAGGGTCTTACTAGGTTGCTTATAGCCTTGCTAAGTTGCTGAGGCTGGCTTTGAACCTGTGATCCTCCTGCCTCAGCCACCTGTGAGCAGCTGGAATCACAGACGTGCAGCACCACATCTGGCCAAGAACTTTCTTCTTCATTTGAAGGACAAGAGAAGCAGAGCAAAGTATTTAAGCAACCAAGGGACAGGCTTCATCTATCAGAAGAGGCTGGATCATGCCAAGGGCTGGGGACACATGGTGGGTGAAACTGACTATCTGAAGGGACTACAGACAAGCAGACACCCAGGGAACCGTGTGCATGGAATAGGACACAGCCCCCAGGAGGGCTACCTAATCCAGCTGAATGGGTGCGTTAGATTCTGGCAGAGAGGGCAGGAGAGGCCTCCAGAAGGAAGTGATGGGGGTGGGGGGTTGTAAATGAGTGGCCAGATGGCACTCCAGGCTGAAGGGGCAGTATAAGCACAGGCATCGTTAGGAGAAAAAATATAATTGTGGTTTGAATGGAAACAACAAGCAGGTTGGAGTTGGAATATCAGAAGAGAGGCCCAGATTCTCAGGATATGCTGCTAGAGAGGTGGGGCTGGAGGTGACCAGAGGGGGGTCTCACTTGCTGATCTCAACATCCTTATCTGCTGGGAGTGACTTAGTGGCATCAGAAGGAGATTTGCTCTTGACACGATAGAAAGGGGAAAGAGGGAGGGGCAGAGAGGCAATTAAGGAGGTGACCATTCCATCCCGGGAGAGGTGAGAAAGCCTGAATTAGGACAGTGGCCATGTGGCAGGTTGTTGGGTGGTAGGTTGAAGAGTTGGAAATAAAGTTTTCAGATCTCAATGTCTTATCAAGTGGTGAGTTTTCAAGGATGATATCCAAGCCCCTGGCTTGGAGAATTTACTAAATAGGATTGAAAGCAAATGTCTGAAAACAAACCAAATGTACACCATGATCGTAGGTACAGCTGCAGTCTCAGCCTCCCTTCCCCACAGCCTGAAGGCAGAGTAAGGGTAAGTTCAGGTGAGGTTGTGGTCAGAACCCCGTATCTCCACTTCACCATAGCATCCTGGCTCCATCTCGCCACTGTGCAACCCAGAGTGAGTTCAGTCAGCCTCAATATACCCAGTTGAAGAGAAGGAAAAGAAGAGGACTGAGAACAACATTTATTGCAATAATTCTTATCTCAGAAAATGGGAAAGGGAAATACTCCACATGGTTCCATTAAGAAAGGAGAAAGAGGCTGCTCTCTTCCTCTCCTTTTCTTCCCTTTTGGCATCCCCCCAATAAAATCTCTTGGTTGAAAAAAAAAAAAAAGAAAGGAGAAAGAGATGGGGCCGGCCTCATGTCGTCATAGGCCACGTGGCTTTCTGGCTACCTGGCCTGGCCCTTCTCCTTCCTTGAGGCAGAACCTCCTCGAATGGGTGCTTGGTCCCAGAGGTGACTGTAACTTTCTTCCTGAGAGGTTGGAGCCCTCCTGGGACTCCGCACAGAGAAGTGGTTTATTCAGCTTGCTTTCACTCAAAGTGGCCCAGATGATCTCTGGCTCCTGCATCCCTTTCCTGGTCACCCTGAGGTATGGTAACAGCCTGAATCTCAAGACAGGACACTAGCCCAACACTCTGACTCCTTTCCTGTCTTTTTTAAATTTGTTTGTTTATTTGACATCAAGAGCCTCAAAATGCCAAGTAGAGATCTCAGCCTCCATTTGAAGGAATCACAATGCTGTGTCTGACAGCAGCATTCCTTCCTGCCATGCCCACACCTCACAAGGCAGGGTGAGGATGGAAGTGACCATTCTAAGAGTGGGCCATTTTTTTTTTAGAAGGGGGGGGGGGGCCAGGATCCAGGGGCACTTAACCACTGAGCAACATCCCAGCCCTTTTTATTTTGAAACAGGGTCTTGCTTAGTTACCTAAGGCCTTGCTGAGTTGCTGACTTTGAACTTGCTGGGACTAAAGGCGTGTGCCATCATGCCCAGCAAGAGGGGGCCATTGTTGTCATCCAAGACATCCATCCCTACCTTGATCCCAGAGATCTTAAATTTTTTAGGTGTGAAAGGAAAGCACCGTTTAGGGCTGGAAGTGTAGCTCAGTGGTAGTGCTTGCCTAGTGTGTCCCCAGCACCAGGAAAAAAAAAGGAAAGCAAGCAAGCACTGTGTCATCACTGGTTCAATTCAGAACACATCCAGCAGATTTTCAGACAGCACCTCATCTGTGCACAGCAGGGTTTCCCAGCTGGGCTGGTGGCACCACATTGGGTCTTTTTTTGTGGGGGGAGCAGGTACCAAGGATTGAGGGGCACTGGACCACTGAGCCACATCCCCAGCCCTATTTTGTATTTTTTTAGAGACGGGGTCTCACTGAGTTGCTTAGAACTTTGGTTTTTGCTGAGGCTGGCTTTGAACTCCCAATCCTCCTGCCTCAGCCTCCAAGCTGCTGGGATTACAGGCATGCACCACTGTGCCCGGCCACATTGGGTCTTTACCAGGCCATCCTATCACTCTGTAGGCCACCTGCTTCCAGATACTGGACCCATGATGAGATTAGTGGATGCTTTCAATATTACCTGCTTTCTTTCTTCCTTTCCTTTCTTTTTTTTTCTTCAGTGATTTTATTTTGAAATAATTTTAGATTTACAGAAGAGCTGCAGAGATACCATGGAGAGTTCCCCTATATCCTTCATCTGTTTTCCCTGATGTTAGCCTCTTACATAACCATGGCACTTTCATTAAAACTAAGAAATTAACACTAATCCAATGCTATTAACTAAGCTCTAGACTTTATTTATACTTCCCCAGCTTCTTCACTAATGTCATATATTTTTTTTTCCCCAGGACTCACACTACATCTACTGCTTTGCTTCTTTTGCTGGGAAGAGATTTTTGGCTAAACACAGCATGGCCCAAGATGCCATGGCCTTTAGAAGGCATTCCATAAATCTGTACATGTTGGTGTTGGCAGGAACATAACACAGAAAATGCAAACCCAATTTCTTTTCTTTTCTTTCTTTCTTTTCTTTTCTTTTTTTTTTTTTTTTGGTACCAGGGATTGAACTCAGGGGCACTTAACTACTAAGCCATATCTCAGCACCCCCTCCATTTTTAAAAAAAATTTTTTAGCTGTAGATGGACATAATACCTTTTTTTCTTATTTATTTATTTTTATGTGGTGCTGAGGATCAAACCCAGTGCCTCACAAGTGCTAGGCAAGTGTTCTGCCACTGAGCCACAACCCCAGCCCATCATCCCAGGACTTCTTATTTTTTATTTTGAGACAGGGTCTCACTAAGTTGCTTAGGGCCTTGCTGAATTGCTGAGGCTGGCTTTGAACTCATGATCCTCCTGCCTCAGCCACCCAAGCTGCTAGGATTACAGGGGTGGGCTACTGTCCCCAGTTAAACCCGGTTTTTGAATAAGTGCCTACTCCAATGAGGACAATTCTCTGTTCCTTCCAGGGAATTGGCTGGTTGACCTGAGGTATGGTACTGTAAAAGGGGCTCATGGCTGTCACCATTGCTGGCTCAATAGGTAGTGGTAGAGCCAGGGTGGCCATAAAGAAGAAAATTCCATACTGTTCTTTCCATGAATAATCTCCTTTTGTGCATCGCTAGCTGTTTAGTTTCATGAGAACTAGCCAGCCCAGTGGTCAGCAGGTCTCTGAGTTAGGAAGAACCTCCTCTGCTGGGTTCTTCTGGGAAACATCCCCAGTACAAATACTTTCAGTCTCTGGACTCGCCTTAAAGTGAGTTCAGCCTCAATAGCTCTCCACAGGTCTCCTGTCTTCTGTCCTTCAATTATGCTCCAAGACCTTGATCATCTAACCAGAACCTT